TATTGCTCATGTCACACCAGAGGACACAGTGATTGTATAGAATTGTGTTGGATTGTAAAATAGGACAGGTATCAGATATACCTTCTGAATTCTTCATAAGTATGATCAGTGTGGCAGGGATTAGAATCCTATCTAAACATAGGTATTCTCGCTTGCTTTTTGCTGATGCTATTACATATACTCCTGTACTGCGCGATAATCTGTCTACTCAATGTTTTTCTTGTTGTTTTCATTTCATTTCATCTGTACTTTTTGCCTTGTAAGCCTGAGGCTGATCATGGCTGATCATTTACTTACCGTATGTGATAGACATACCTTCCATTACAATTACAGGAAGATGGACACATTTCCAACTAAGATGGAACTTGAATGCCATGATGTTGGAACACATGCTCATATATATGTTGAATGTACTCACCTGTAGCTCTATCTCTCTCTTCTCTCTCTTTTCTCTCTTCTTTCCCATGTTTTTCCTCCTTCTCTCTCTTTTGATGATCTCGCCTGTTCTCTGCTATCTCTCTCTGCCACTTTTGTATGCATACCTCTAGTCCCTGCACGATTCGATGCTGGTCCCATCAAGTCCGATGTGAGGTACTACCATGCGATACTTAGTCCTCGTACGCAGACTCGGGCTGACCGCAATCATTATAGGTACTTGTTTAATCCCTTTCCCCTGCAGAGTTATGCACCAGCAGACAGCGGACCAGAATGTGGCACCTGCGGAGCGCTCGCACACTCAGCGTCTTCGCATTTCCTCCCTCCATTCCCGCACAGGAGACGCACTGGAATGTCACAGCCCGACCGATATTGTACCTAGACATCTCCGCGTCGGGAATTGTGCACGAGACCACTCCCACCACGCCATCTTAGGTGTGCTGTCGCCCTGGCCACCCGCTGCCTAACAGACCCGAGATCTACGTTGGTGGTCCGCTGTGCTAGCGAATCGCATGGGGCGATATCGACGTCGGCAGCGGCTCGAACGCGGACACACACACATCGCCTACCCCGGTGCGCTCGCCGACGACAGCTTCGCTGGCCCAGCGTGCCATTCAAAATATTAAAGCTGGAAAGGTGGGAGAATTCACCGTGGCCTTGAATATTGAATCCGGAGGGTGTGTGCTGGGGCAGACTCGCGATAATCCGTATGTCCAGATGCCCCGGTCCGAGACGCGGTGGCAGAAGCGAGCCCCGCGCGCGCTCAGGTGCACACCCCCCATTTGCCTGCGGAGCGTGTTGCTAAAAATGCGTGATAGGTGACGGCACGGCGCCCTGGTCGTTAACTCGCCGGATCTGCTGCGCGCGCCGAAATCCGAGCTCGCAAAGTGGGGTTACTTGCACGATGCCAGCCCCGGGCGCGCGAGCCTGGGCACGGACGGGCGGGTCTTGCGTTTTGCTCAAATAGACGTCTGCTTATCTCGTGCCGGGGCCCCGGGCCCCGAGGAAGATGTGCTTCCTGGTAAGAGACCGCATTCGCACTTCACCGCTCGGAAATGACGACCGGTTCTCTAGGAATACGACTCGGAGTCGTCGGCACCTGGTCCATATACGCCTTCTCGAGGAAAACCACAGGGCTGTGCCGACGCCGGCCGGGCAGCCACACAGGCGTGCTCAACGCTCAGGAGAGCTTGGGCATCGCCGCAGGTGTTCATGCACGCTTAGCCGCAGCCGCTGGCCGGTTACATAACAGGACGCAGCAAAATCGCCGGGACGAGCGGGTCGCCGGCGGTTGCAAATTCAGAGGCTTCAATCCCCGCCCGTGATGTCATTGCGGTCACCAAAGGCGTTCAAGACTCACCGAGCGGATATTTTGCCGGTGTGGTGGCTAGCACAGACATGGACATGGTGTCTGTCTTGTCCATTTCGTGAAGACGACCAGACTGCGCCGTTGCGATGCACTCATCGCACAGGACAAGGAGACATCAATGCCGCGTGCAGCTTTCCTGGTCCGTGATCACTACGATGATGGCCGCACCGGGCACCCACCGGGCACCGCCGTCGCTCGGTGCGCGCCATCAAAACAATCACAATTTCCCGGAGCCGCCATCAGAAACCGTGCGTGTCGGAGCAATGATGCCCGCGACGAATTACATGTTGGCATCGATAAGTTGGGACGTTGCCGGAGGCGGTCCTACCTGTGCGGATGATATGCATGCTTACATATACATGTCTTTGGCGAGACCCAAATGTATCTCATCTCATCATTCGCGCTGTCGGCTCGGATATCTTCCACCTCACGGCAATGTAGGAGTCTATCCTCCTGCCAAAGCGAGGGAGCCCTGCTTATACTTTTCGGGCGGGATCGAAGACTGTGAACATCAGCATACGATCAGTGACTCAGTTCTGGAACGTTTTGAATATTCACCTTCGCTTGAAAGAATGGCTGGCCGGAATATGTTGGAGTTTGCGCCGTTCGAAAGCCAAGGTTCGAATTGGTGTTTGTCGATTTCAGAGATCCTATGTGTGGAGAGTGATGACACCGAAAGGAAACAACCATTGCAACTAATCTGTTACTTTCCCCCGCAGTCAGTCATGGAATTTGTCGCAGTGCCGAAAACGTGCCCTGATGCCGACTATATCAACTGAAAATGTCGTATTCATCAATGTTTCTGTCCTTCCATCCAAGCCAAACATCTAAGGGAAAAAAAAAATCATACCCATACTCGTAAACGCCACTAGTATACAACACGAAATTCCTGGAAGAATGGATGGGTCAGAAACCAGGTAGTTGCAGATTAGTTGCGATTGTATATTAGCGCCACTGATAGCACGCCTGTAGCGCAGCCAGCGGTACGCCATCTGATAGTAAAACAAAGATGTGTCTTGCTTGTACACGAGTACACTCAGAGCGTCTGGTAGAAACACGAGTGCCTGTTCGCCACAGCTCCGCTCTAGAGCCCTGCGCTGACGTCCGGGTAGACATCGAACCGCCGCTGCGTCGTCACGGGGATGCCCGCACGCGCGTCGTGGAACGTCTGCGGGTCTGTGCGCCGTCGCAACGAGCGCACACGTGGGTGTCAGCGCGCCTGCATGCAAAGACGAGAGGAGGGACACACCGATGCGCGCGTAAACGATGTCCTCGTCCTGCGTAGTGCCCGCGACGACCTTGCCCCTGGGTGCGGCACAGTGAGAACGCCGCTCAGCACGGGGAGCGGTGTGGGTGGGGCTTACATTGGGTCGACGACCATCGAATGGCCCCACTGCGAAGCGTGTGCATGAGCGGCGGCTAGCACGGAAGGTGGAGAGACGCACCGCGTGGTATCCGGCAGTCAGGTCCCGAGCGGGGCTGCACATCGCAAAGTACACCTGGTTGTCGACCGCGCTGTATTTCGGTCAGCATCGCGGACGGAAGGGTGGAGGGTGGAACGCACCGTGCGCGCTGGAGGAGCTCCCAGTGCAGCGGACCGGTCGTGAGGTTGAATGCGCCGGGGTATATGAGGACTTGGCAGCCTGCGGGGCACATGTCGTCCGTCCGATTGCAAGAAGATTCACAAGCAGTGTGTGAGTTTGTGTCGAATCTGATCGGGAGGATGAGTACGCCGCACCTTGTCGCGCATTGATCGCCGCCAGCTCAGGGAAGCGGACGTCATAGCAGATGCCGAGGCCGATGCGGGCAAAGTCTGGTGGTCTGGTTAGACCGAGATCCCTAGTTTTTACACACCACAGGTAATATCCAAAGTTCGAGTGGCGGACTTGCGTTGAACACAGCTCCCAGGAGACAGTGAGTTTTCATTCTGACCGAGGCTTGAACATCATGGGTGTAGTGTTCGACTACCAAAGATGAGTGATTGGCAGCTGCTGATTCACCAAACACCCATGTTCGACGGATGTTGCCACAATGTCCGACCAACATGTTCGAGCTCAGCAAATGCCGTCTCCAGCGACCCATGTTTTCTCTATGTCCGGCGCTCAATTTGTGGACAGTTCCCGCAGTGACAGGAAAGATCCAATCACAGGGGACAATTGTCGAAGCTCGGCGGTCGAACATCGCCGAAGACTGGCCGCGGTAGAAGGGCTAATCAGAGACTGCCAAGCTGCCATCTTCACTGCCCGAACATGAAATTCGACGCCTGAGCTCCGACAATTGAGAGAAAATACGACCCCTTCCGGTGCATGTCCCGCGCGAGGACACCAAATCTACCCCACGGTGAATGAAACGGGAATGAGACATGGCGAGAATGTGAGCTGCATCTTCTCGCCGTCACGATATGGAATTTGCTTGCAGTAACGAACGAGTGCACTGTGACATACCTGTATCAAAGTAATTCGACGTCGATCCACCCGTCAGCGTTTCGCTCTCCTACATACGCGCATCGTCAGTAAGGCCCGACAGGGCCGGGGGCGGACATGCCTTGAACGTGATCTTGCCCGGGATGTCGATGTCGAACAGATGCACTTTGCGGTGCACCGCGACGAGCTCGCCTGTGGACGCGTGCAGTGTGTGAGCGACGCGGGGCCCGGAACACGCGGTGGCCCGCGCCTAGCTAGATGCGCTGACCTTGGGGCGAGTACACAGTCGTGGTGTTGTACAGCTTGTTGTCCGCGCCGCGTTCCGGGATCGACCCTGCGTGCCGTCGCGGCTGAGGGCGGGGGACGGGATATCGGATATCGCGCAGAGGGACGCACCGCCGATGAGCCACACACCCGTCTCCTTCGCCACAGCAGAGAGCATCCGCACCGAGTCGCTGGGGGACGCAGCGGGATCGTACGGCTGGCCGGGAACGAAGTCTACGGGCTCTGCGTAGACGGGGAAGTGTTGTGCGCCGTAGGGCGAGTTGAATACTTCCTGTGTGAAGATCAGACGCTGCGCGAGAGGGTCACGGAGGGTGGACTGACGGGGAGCACGATCAAGTCTGGCTTCGTCTTTGGGTCGTCACCGCCCGCAGCGGCCTTCAGGACCATGGTCCGAGCATGCTGTAAGTTGGCTATCCGAGAGACGATCTGCGCGTGAGAGGCGGTTTGACTGGGAGAGTGGGCGCAGACGCACTGGGTTTGTCGGCGGTGATCTGCCCGAGCTGGATGAGCGCGAGGTTGAACGGCCTGAAGGTGGTGGAAGATGCGGAGGACATTGTACGTGAGAGAGGGAGGCTGCGTCCGAGGGGTCTCTTGAGGGAGAGGATTCGCTGAAACATGCGGGTCCGGGTCAGAGTTTGCTGGTCGAACGATAAGCGCCAGCCGGGAGGGGACCAGATTAGATTAGATGCGTCGGCCAATCTGCGCTTGCCTCCTGGCCACATCTAAAGTGCTGTACCTCCAACATGTTACTGTAAATTGAACATTTATATATTCAAACAGATACCGACACCCACTATCTGCACATATAGAATGGCCCGGGCGGAGAGCGCTCCAGAGTCAAAGTAAGTTTCACCCTTGAGTCTCACCTTCCAGCCCTTGCCATCGTCTCCACCAACGGCGGGCACACCGCACCGCAAAGTCTTCTGGGGCCATTGAAAATCATGGGGACCTCAATCCCAGGTGAATTTAGTTTTACTATACTGAATTATATGGCACTTGGGGTTCTCTCCGCTCAATGTACGCTAGCTCCTTCATTATATTCTCTTAACGAGGACGTCGCACGATTAATCGTGTTGAAGCTGGACATAAAGTCCCCCCTAGCATTATCCAAGACGACAAGGGAATGCCACCCCATGGCGACATGTCAAGCTGTTTCGTCTCTTACTCTCTCGAGCTTTGCATGATGCGATCTTGAAGGTTTGGACACCTGAAAGCCATATTTCACTGTCTTCTCTTCGACATTCCCGGACATCTACACTGTGTACGCCACTTTACGATCGTAAGATTGTGTTTCTGGGCTGAGTCAATGCCAATTGTGGAGGTGGCTCGATCCATGCCTTGGTTGTCTCAGAACTCTCCATCTCGATAATATGCAACACTTGTATCGATGGTCCTGAGGTCGTAAACGCTATCGAGGGTCTTTCCCGCTTGGCAAAGCTGCAGCTGACCAAAGTCAATCCCGCGCGACACGAATCGCGCGCTGCATCGATACACTTTAATCTGGAACTTGACCGATGCTTGAAGCCGTTCCTGCCTTCAGAGCTGGTCTTGCTCTAGGGCCATAGCATCACCTACCTGAGCGCCCCATGGGGCTTTACTGACCTGAAGTGGTTGCAGAGGTGGCCCATCCGGATTCCTCCAATTTGAAGGTTCAGATCATATTTGATACCGGTATTCCCAAATTTGGAGATATCCGAAGGTCCTGCAGATAACCAAGTAGAGGTGAGTGGCCATGTGGTGCAGTGCCTTCAGTATGCGCTTTGCCTTATGGTTCTCAGTTTTAAATTGTGGATTTGTAGCGCTGCGCGTCCCGACTCCATCGCGAGGGGAAGGCTCGATGAGAATTGTCAGTGATACATCGTCCATGTGTTAGATCGCGCGAGCATGCATGTTGTGGTCATTTGGTCGTCGTTTTGCACCAATTCGACGACGAGTGCGATGGAGTTGGGCGCGCTGCGTGTATAAGTAGTCCTAGTGGTACAATGCCGAAAGTGCAGCACATGTACATGGTGTATTGCTACAGTATGAGTGATGACCGTCCGCACCTGTTCATCATTGTCAGCCTGCTCGTGTCTACGATCTCTCGGGTGTCCGCTGCATCAGACAAAGACCGCAAAGCCGGACTTGTCGTCGATGGGCGCGACAGCGACACACGACGCCTTCCCGCCCTTCTCTATCTCGTGTATATCGCCATCGGTGCACACCAGGTGCGCGCGCTCGTCGATCTCGTCCTGTGCGGGAAGAGCCAAACGTCTGCAACCGGCGCGATCGGAAGATGCTGCAGCACTCACCGGCTCCCACTCCCACCCGCCGCAGCGGAAGTACTCGACGACGCACGGGCCGTCGCCCTCGGTCGACAGACTGCCATCCGGAGCGTAGCGCATGAGGGTGTGCGCGCCGTCGTCGTACGCACCGCCCATGACGGCCATCGTCTTCTTCGCGAACGCAGCGCGCGTCTCCTCCGAGTCCATCTCCGCCGTCGGGTCGCCGGCGGGGCGGAGGACCACGACGTCCAGCGTCGGGCCGCCAGCTGCGCGAGGGTCCCTGCCGTGCGGGGTGACCCTGAAGCGCGGCTCGAGGCGATCGACGTTGACGGTCGAGAGGAAGTACGCGAACGGGCCCGCGAGGTCGACGATGGGGCCGTCCGGGCTGGGCACGAATGCGCGCGCGGCGGGGTCGAACACCTGCACGCTGCCGCTGCCCGGGGCGGGGAGCAGGGTCAGCGTCGCGGTGTACCAGCGCGCGATGTTCTGGGCGGCGGCGAGCTTGAAGCGCTCCAGCCCCGGCACGGACGCACGCAGCGCCTCCGAGTCGTGCAGGATGGACGCGTGGAGTGCGGTCGAGGCGACGACGGCGGAGACGGCGGTGCGGGGCTGGGTGCGCGCGCGCGTTCCGGGTGGCGGCGAGAAGGTGGTGAGGGCGAGGGTGAGCGGGGCGGGGCGGGTGTGTGCGACGAATGCCGAGCGAACCGACTGGAGCTTGTACTCGACGGAATCGACGTCGGCGTCGGGGGCGGGGGCGGGCGGGAAGAGGGAGGCGTAGAGGGCGTTGGCAGTGCCACAGGGAACGAGCGCGAAGGTGAGTTTTGCGGGCGGGGCAGAGGCGCGCATGCCTTTGGGCGTCGTCGTCGTCAATGTCTCGATGATCTCGTGCAGAGTGCCGTCGCCCGAACCAAGCACGATGGTGAATGGGCCCTCGACGGCCTCGAGGTATTCGGTGATGAACTCGCCTGCGTGCCCTGCTCGCTCGGTGACGAGCAGCTTGTCGACGCGGACGCCGTTCTGCTGCAGAAGGGGGAGGACATGGTCATCGAACAGCTGTTGCGCACCGCCATGTCCGCAGACAGGATTATAAACGACGAGAGTGGGCATCTCGTCGGAGTGGCAGAGATCTGGAAGATCAATTCGCGCCCACAGCGCTCTTATAAAGTACATACGCGAATTCCGGTTCCGAACAACGGGCGCTATCATCTTATTTACGCGGTGGACATTGATCGCAATATTTATGATGTAGCATCCATCCACTTCATTACATGGCTCACCAGCGAAGACGATTCGGCCGCGCACTCGTAGCACTGATACAAGTACAGATTGTCCCCTCCTCACCGACGCACAGCAATTCGCACCTGCATCATCATGGTAAAGCATCTCCCCGTATCCACGTACCTCCTCTATACGTGCAACGTCACAGATATGTATCATCGCCATTGGACGAGACGTCCTGTCGTGGAACACGGAGAGTGTACTACACATCTCAAAACCAAAATTCAAATACTCCTTAATCAAGATTAGGTGCAGCACGTACTGCACATGTGGAGGCGCCACACCCCACCCGCCTCTATCTGGCTCTCAAAGATCTCCAGATTTGGGAACACAGGCTTCAGAATGTGGATGATGCGGCTGCCCTGTGTATCAACATCGCCTTTCACAAAGCACGCTCTGAACCTTCGAACTGAAGGAAATCGAATATGCTGCTCTTGCAGCAGTTTCGCGTGATAAAAGCCCCATGGGCCCGGTCCGCTGAATGTCAGGTCGGTGATATTATGGCCTTGAAGCAGCGCTAGCTCGGCGAACCGAAAGTGCGTCGAGTTTTGGTAAACTTCAAGCTCTAAGCGGACAGACGTGGTGTGCAATCCACGTAAGAGTTTTGGCGTGGGGGAGTCGACCTCCGTCAGCTTGAGCTTTTCCAGGCGGGGGAGACCCACGATTGCGTTGACTATCGCAGGCGCACGTTGAGCCAGTGGCTGCATGGCCTCGAGGTAGAGAGTCTGGAGGTTTTGAGCGTTCTCCAAGATGTTGGCTAGCACAGGCACCAAGCCGGTGTCCAGAAATGGCCCATCCCAGAAGCACGATCTCACGATCTTCAAGTGGTGCACATAGTGCAAACGTCCAGGAATGTCGGCGAGGAGATAGTCAAATACGGCTTTCAGGCGTTTTTGTTTGAATTTGTAACTGTCCCGTGCAAAGTCGAGAGTAAGAGACGAAACGGCTTGGCGCGTTGCCACGGTGTGGAACAACTTTGATGTCCTAGAGAATGTCAGGGCGGATTTCGTGTCCAGCCTTGACAGGATAAGTCCCAGAACATCCAATGAGAGTGTGACTGAACAGCTGATGGAACTGAACTGAAGCAACGCTGAGTACCATGGTATTCAATAATTCACATTCGACTCGCCTGGGATCGAGTGTTCTCCATTTGAACAGGGAGAAGAGTGATCTTGTCGTGCGGTGTGCTCGTGTATACCCACTGCTGTTGGCGGTCACACAGTAAAGATGGCCAGAAGGCACTCGGGAATCAAGTCTACTTTGACTCCGGAGCGCTCCATTCTGTCGACGTCGTTGTCATGGTTTCGAATAGCTAGATGTGTGCCCAGTGAAGTGGATACGGTGGATAATGCTAGCGCAGACTCATCGGTGCCGAGCATGAGGTGCAATAATACATCATGGGTATATAGTATTATGCCAATATTGCCGTTTGACGGCTCAAACAAGTCTCACTGTTTCTGGAGTGGGAGCTTGTTCCATAAAGGCGCTGCAGCTGTATAGCGTATCATCAAGGGGGTGAGCGACACGGTCGAAGCGCAGGCGCCGAGTCGATCGAGGTTGGACGTTGCAATTTGAACAGAAACTTCAAGCGCGACGCTCCAAGCCCGATCTAACAGTATCTCAAATGTGCATACGATCCTTTCGATAACGGCAAAAGTTACCCAAAAAGTAATGAAATTGCACATCGAATGTCACGGTTGAGCAGCGCAATATGGGAACCTTTGAACCCTTTGAAAAGAAATTGCGAATCACGAAAGGCCTGTGTAGTGACACGCTCATGCATGCGCGACGCACAGGACGGCAGCGTGTCGAAAGACGGCGATGGACTGCGTATCGTCGAATACGTTCGCTGAAGGACCAAAAAGTCACCCAACCGCTAGTGGCCGAATCATCATTAGGGCAGGAAATGAAGCTGCTGTCAATTCTAAAACGAATTCTTGAACATTGCTGTCCCACATCTGAATAAGAACTGAAAGGCATAAATTCGGGCACAATGGCACTCAGCCTGCGAAGACACAAGAATAAGAGCACACCGGATTTGAGGCTCACATGAGGCCCGACCAGCTAGCAGATTCAATTCAAATTTCTTACATTGTTGTAAGAAATAGCAGCGGACCTGCACGAGATCCAGAGACATCCAATATAGATCAGATATCTGCAAAGTCAGCTTTGCCGAGGTTATAGCGTCACCTCACCCATTGATCTACCAAGTCAATTTCACCAAGTCAAAAATATGCAGTTCTTCCGAGTCCCGAAAGTTGATTTTATTCTGCTCAACCATAGAATTCTAAGTGGAAAGTACCCTTTTGACATGAAGTGAGGTGTCTTCGAGAACCAACAACTCACCCAAATAGGTCTTGTCGACTAAAGCATTTGGAATAGCGCGAGATAGTAAAAGCCAATACATCTAACATGAGATGCCTGGATAACAGTTTGAACCACGAGAAAGCTGCTCGAATTTTGAAGACAATGACCACCACCTCAAGGCCAGCGTCGTGGTTCCTAGTAGCCTCAGCCCGAGATCGGGTTCCAGGGGCACGAGAATAGATAGTGGTGGAACATGGACCCTTGCGAGGCGGCATGAGGACACGCACAAGACAGCAATGAATCATGAGTCATATCTAGACCTTTGCCCTAAGACGACGTTTTGTTAGTGAGAATGTCGATTTTCGTACTCGCGTAGGTACTACCCCATAAGTTGTTGGACACGCTTTTTTTGTCTCTTACATTTCTTATTCACTTGAGGCCCTAGTAGTGGTCAAAGCTACGTCCAAGAGAACGCATCACGCTCTAAAAATTCACAAGCAAAACAGCTCCGACGGTGTGCGTTGTGTCTGTGACATGCGCACGCGGGCAGCCTCGCACAAGTGAGACTAAACAAGAAAGTCCGAGGTCGACAACATTACGCGCGCCGAAGCTTAGTCTGACGAATGTGAAAGTTGGACGTTAAGATTGTACGTACGACGTAGAGCTCCGGGAAGCCCTAATGCGCGACTTCTCGCCCAAAAAGTCGTGAGCAGGCACTTTTTTGAAACGGATGGGGACTGAACCCATGGCGAAATATCTCCTGCATAGTGTGCTGCATTCTAAACGTATGGTGTTGTACATGCAGAGCCACCAGCTTCAAACATGGATGGAAGAACTCGTCCAGCGGACCAAGGGATCTTCGCAACGTCATACGCTTACGTTACGCGTGATCTCGCCTTTGAAGAGCTGTGTCACAACAGACTTAGCCTTTTCGTGCACTTCTTCGATAGTCGCTGTCGCATCGATCTAAATAGGAATGAATGTAGCTGTGTAGCTACAAGCAAAATTTGAATACATACCGTAGCGACCTTATGCGCGTTGTTGTAGTATTCGATGACTGGCATCGTCTGTTCCTTGTAGACACCTACGCAAAAATCAATACACAATTCGAACAAGAATCCGATAAGATCACACATACGGAACCGCTTTTTGATGCTCTCTTCATTGTCATCTTCCCGGCCACTCGTCTTACCCCGCTCCATGAGGCGCTTCAGCATCTCCTCCTCCGTTGTCGTAAAGAACATCACAAGGGATGATTGGCAAACCTACACGCGCGCCGAGTCCTGCAGCCATTCCTTGTACACAGAACGAACGGACACGTACCTCTTCGTCAAACTTCATCGCCTGGTCCATCTTCCGCGGGAACCCATCAATCAGGAACCGGCCCCGACTGTCTGTCCAGCCTTCGTCTGCGCGTCCTTCTGTGAGCGCGGCGCGCATCGCGTTCTCGAGCAGCTTGATCGTGACCTCCATCGGCACAATCTGGCCCTCGCGGATAAATGTTCGAATCATTTCGCCGTACTGTGAGCCTTCGCGGTTCTGCTCAGCGCGTAGGAGATCTCCGGCTAGAGGTTCATGGACACGGTGAGACTACAGATGAGCTACGTTCCAAGATGGACGTACCGGAGAGATGGCAGAAATCAAAATCTTGCACGAGGTTTGCGCACTGCGTACCCTTTCCTGAGGGATATATCGGCAAGAATGTACACACGCGGAACAGGGAAGAGCGCACCAGCACCGGGGCCGCCGAGCACGAAGATGACGGTGACCTTGCTGTTATCGAATGCGGGCGTTGTGAAAGCACTCATCCTTGGCTTCGCGGATCTCTTCTGTTTCTTCCTGATATGTAATGCACTGGCAATCTTATCAAATATAGCAGGCATACACCGATGCCAGGCAGTCAATCTATTCCTTGTGCCGCGGGGGTATCAGTGGGCTGTCGTACTGTCTAGGCTGCTTGGACGCAGGATAAGTCGCCTCTCTACGTTTAGCAAGCCAGTAGAACGCGCCAAAGGAGGCGAGTGAAAGACCGAGAAAATAGAGCGGGTTGGGAGCCTTGTTAGGCATGGAAGGCGCGTGGATCGGGAAGGAGGCGCAACGGAGGTAGTATTTATGCTTGTTTTGCAAGAGCTTTGGAAAATAATAAGCACAAATAAGGTCTTATGGCCACGTGAGTGTGCGTTTCAATTCCGTCGCAAACTCAGTATTTACTCCTTAGTGCTTTCTTGGTGCTTACTTGACCGGCCTTGCTCGCCTCCGTGTAAGCCATGGCTGACGTTCGACATACTCATGGAACAGACGTGCATGTTTTGCGCGCATGTCATCACGCAGATGGCGCCGACCTCGTTGCTGTAGGAGGCGAGCATTCCGTTGAAGTCTTGTTGACCGTATGTGGCTATTCTGCGGACAGTCTTCCGCGTCCTGAACTCATTCAGACAGACCCCTACCTCATCGAAAGTTATTGCTAGCTTTCATGTCGGTGCCCGTATAACTGCCCTAGCGTGGTCACCGAGTACAATCTCCCCGTCCAACTCGGCCGAATGGTCAATAGAGTGTGTTCGAGCGTACACCTATGTCGAGCTTCTGAACTGACGATGCTTTACGACCAGGATTGCAGCTGCTGGCGCACACTTTGGCCTGTTCCTGTTGACAAAATCTTCGATAGAAGACGAACACATATTTGCTTTTGGGGGTGGATTGAGTGGCCACCACGGAAAGGTCAATGACATGACATTTTGTGGTGGACAAAGCGAAGACAGTGTACGGTATCTCGCTACTGTGTCTGGTAAGCGCTGTGCGCTCCGTGCTACGCTGTCCCCATACTGACCCATCTCAGACGACAAAATGCTCCTTGTATGGGACCTCAACCCGTCTATAGACATCGCCTCTCCTCCTTCCCCAGATCCTGATGATTCCCTCGACGAGTCTGGCAGGCCACAACCCACAGCCTATGTCGTATCGTTTCCGTACCCACTCACCTCTGTGAACTCGCACCCCACAACGAGCAAGGAGTTGCTTGTAGCGGACTGCCGTGGCTCGATCTATATGACGGATTGGCGGACGGACCCGGAAGAGAATGAGCAAGACAGCTGGCGGAACTCGAGCGTGATAGAGCTTGTCGAGCCGCGGGCACTAGCGGATGCAACGATGGGCCTGGGATCACGGTGGTCGGGGTCGGTTGGTTGGCGGAGAGATTCCGCAGACATGTATGTACCCTCTTGTCCTTTCCAGGAATTTGTGTTGACTGCAGGCGATTCTTCTCAGAATCGGTGCTACATACGGCTCCAAATTTGCAATCTGGGACATCGGCAGTTTGCAGGGTGGCAAGCCGAGCCTCTCGGGGATGAGCTTCCCCGAGGGCGGACATTTATTTAGGTGTGTCTGGAGCTGCTATCTGGGGTATGCGGCTGCTGAGAAGTGTGGTTAGGTGGTGTCCGACATATCCCGAGTACTTTGCAATCTCGAGCAGCTCGTCTGCGAACGGGGCTGTGATTCACGTCCACAACACGGCATATGCGCAAGCGTCGCCGACGGTATTTACGGTTGCGTCCCGTCCGCAGTACGTGCGGACGTTTGACTTCCTGGCGGGGCGGGGGATTCCGCGGATAGTGGCTGGGGTCGGGCGGGAGGCAGTGATATTTTCAATCGGGGTGGATTCCTGACCAATGTTCGGTGTATGTAAAAACTTTGTAATGAGGCTTGTCGAGTGCACGTTTATGGAAGGCCGTTGCGGGCGCCAATCTGACAAGCAAGCGTGAATTTTCTCGACGATTCGGTGTCGTTCGAACACTTTCCGCACCCGTTTTTATCTCAAACGCCCGTCGCTCGTCTCGCTCTCATCTGCTTAGTCTTTGTCCCATCCCTTTTGTCTCCCTCCTCCTCGACGTCTGCAACAATGGTCAAAGAAACGTGAGTGTCGCCCGAGCATGCCTCAACGCTGAGCCAGAGGTTGATCACGCGGCTCGTCTCCGCGCCACAGCAAATACTACGATTTGCTCGAGGTTTCACCAGATGCGTCGGAAGCTGATCTCAAGAAAGCCTACCGCAAGAAGTATGTACCTTTGACCTGCAATTGAGTGATGCGTCGTCGCTGACGACGGTCCAGAGCACTCCGGCTGCACCCAGATAAAGGTGGTGACCCAGAGCTCTTCAAGGAAGTCACCCATGCGTATGTAGCTGCCTTTTTTGCGCTCTTAGCGCTTCTGTTAAAACCCTTTCACCTAGATATGAGGTCTTGTCGGACTCGCAAAAACGAACTGTCTATGATGCTCGAGGAGAGGCCGGTCTGTCTGAATCGGGCGGTATGGGCGGTATGGACCCCCAAGTGAGCTATAATCCCTTCGCGTTGTGCGCCTTTCCTGACATTTTGTACAGGACTTGTTCAGCCAGCTATTTGGTGGCGGCGGTTTCTTCGGTGGAGGTCCCTCGCGTGGCGGGGGCCCGCGCAAAACGAAAGACTTGGTACACCGAGTACACGTCACCCTTGAAGATCTCTACAAGGGCAAGACATCTAAGCTCGCTCTGACGCGGAATGTTATCTGCGGGAAGTGTAACGGCAAGGGCGGTAAAGACGGTGCAGTACAGACGTGTACGACATGTCGCGGGCAGGGTGTCCGTGTCACACTGCGTCAAATGGGGCCCATGATTCAGCAGATTCAGCAGCCCTGTGACACATGCAACGGTACTGGCGAAATGATTAATGCCAAGGACCGCTGTAAGACATGCAACGGCAAGAAGGTCAGCTCGGAGAAGAAGATGCTCGAAGTACACATAGACAAGGGCATGAAAGGTGGCCAGACGATCAACTTCCGTGGAGAGAGCGATCAGGCACCAGGTGTTACGCCTGGAGACGTCGTTATTGTTATAGAGGAGAAGCCGCACGAGCGATTCCGTCGTCAGGACAATGACCTTATTATTGATCAAGAAATTGACTTGCTCACCGCGCTTGGTGGTGGCCAGTTTGCCATTAAACACCTTGATGACCGCGCGTTGATTGTTAAGATCAACCCAGGAGAAGTCATCAAGCACGGTACGTTTTTACTTTTGTTTCGTCTTCCGCTTCGCGATATTGAGCGGTCGATTCTAGATGAACTCAAAGTGATTCCCGGTCAAGGCATGCCCTCGCACCGGCACCACGAGCCTGGCGACCTCTTTGTGCACTTCACTGTCAAGTTCCCCGAATCTATAGATCCCTCCCTCATCTCCCAGCTTGAGCAAGTCCTCCCGCCTCGCGCGCCAATCGAGAAATTCCCGAAGTCGATTTTGTTAGAGGAAGTGGAAGTTGAAGAGGCAGACACCCGGCAACGCGCACGCGCCAATGGTGCCGAACCGATGGACGAGGACGAGGGCGAGCCGCGGGTGCAGTGTGCGAACCAATAATCGGTACTGTGTCCCCGTGGTCGTCTTGCGCACAGGCGCATTGGGGTGCGCGGTGCTTCATAAGCTCTGGCGCACCCTCCCTGCTGTGTATCGTGTGTTGCGTGTTGTATGCTGTGTGTGTCGGTTGCCCACTCCTGTTTCCATCTCTCTCCATCTCTTCCCGGCTTTGTGTTGCACGTCATCCTCACTATTTTATCACGCCATAGTTGCACAGCGCATCCACGACTAGACCTATGTGACTGTATAGTGTATACCGTCTTCAGAACGAGAGGCATCCTGTGCGGACTAGCGTTTGCGAGGTTTGGAGCTGTTGGTAATGTGTGCGAGGTAAGTGTCGGAGGAGATCCTACTTTTATCCTGTTGAGTTGCTAGCTTAGGGTGAGGATCTCGGTCCTACTGTAGCACTGTCAGGTCCAGGCTGTGTCTCTTAGCATCATAACGAAACGGTGTCGACCCCTACAGGAGCTGCACCTTAGGATAGCACGATTGATTTTTGGTAAAATTACCTCCCAGTTGAGCTTTCTGACCTCGCGGGGAGGTCCATATCCATAGCACGAGCAAAGTCTCACCGTAAGTCACGTCCACGACAACTATGGTTATTGCAGCCCGTCTTCAAAGAACAAAATTTCCGTGCCGACAAGTGTATTTTTTTGGCGTCAGGGTATATAGGCTATTCGGCATTGTGTGCAAGTTGATTGTCAATGACAGCCAGAAAAGGTGCAGGAAGATGATTCATGTTCTCAACCCAGCAATTGCGCGCGCCTCCTGCTCATTCAACTGCCATGTAATCCCTGAACCGTTGTAAAACTCATCGACATCCTCCTCCTATTATATGATGATCATTGGCAACGCAGAATCCCGAAATACACAGACTTACCGAATCCAGGTTCAGCAAGATGGATATCTGTTGTATGCGGACAAACTTCCCGCGCACGTCGCCGAATGCGGTCTGTGATGAGAGGTATGATGTGATCGAACGCAAGTCGTGGTCGAAGCGCACCGCGCCGAGCTTTAGTGGGTATTAGACTCAGTCAATTTAGAAAAGAAAGCTTGAAACCGGACCTCGTTATATTTCAGTGTTACAACGAAGCGTTCCCATGGTCGAATCAGGACGTCAAGAGCAAGACCGAAGAACAGGCGGAAGTTGTTTTCTGTAAATATCTCCTGTACACAACAACCTCGTTTAGCGTCAACACCTGCAAATGTAAGCGGGGACTAACCTTGTATCCCTCGACGAGTGCCTCCCATGCCTTGATGAAACGCTTCCGCACGGCGTCATTGTACTCAGCGGTAGCGTAACTGTCCTCGTCGAGAATGTATGATACATCCTTGTATACATCTTGAATGAATGTGCGCAACTTTGGTCGCATGAGCTGGTTAAACAATTGCTCTACCCCAGCCTACAACAGAAATAGAAGTGGAATTCAAAGCGCGTGGGAATTCGAGTGCGTGCGTACCCTGAGAGCAGATCGGAATTTGGGCACTAGACTGTTGAAGGAGAGCACGCTGGACTTGACTGTCTCCTGCTCTGTATCCAAGAAGTATTGCGCTACCAATGTAGAAGCAGCAATTTCCTTAACCAATCGCTCCATATGCGACGAAGATATATCCAGGTCATTTAAGAGGATCTGTGTATCACAATCTTGTCATTTCGCATATCGGAAACTTGTGGTAAGACGTACAATAAATGCCTGGCGGTTCTCTCGCTCCACCTTCTCTCCCCTTGAGCCGCCGCCAACCCCAGCTGTGCGGTACACGTCGTCCATTTTTCTCCTGATCACACTTGTGTATTCCTTATCTAGCACCTCCCGGAGCTGCTCGGCAGTCGTTTTCACCGCCGCCATCGAACCACACGATAGCAATCGAGACAAGACTACCTTCAACATATAGAATACGTCATCTGGCGTGGTCGTCATTGCTGGTGATTGGAACATATCCGAATTTGACAATCGATGAGCCTGAAAACCGTTATAAGGGGTCGAAGACTGATATATGCGCAACTGGCGGCGGATACGAATGCGTACCTTGTCAATGATAGTCCGGGTGTACCACGTCTCGAGTGGCACGTAATAGTTTGTGAGCATGTCTTCCATGAGCTGTCGTGACGCGCACGATTCGACGGCTTGAATACCACCCGGAAGTGTACCAGCGTCCTCGTCTACCTTCTGGTTTCTTTCCGGTTTCGGCCGTGGAGATGCGGGCGGGCGATCCTCTTCGTCGTCCTCGCTATCAGAGAACTCTTCCTGTAAGCATTCCTGTCAGCGCTTGCGGCTAAGAAGCAAACACTTTCGTGTGATGTGAACCTTTAGTCGGTCGTACATGAATCTACGGAAGAGGCTCCATCTCCCACCCATGCCAGCGGCCTCGGTTAGCACTCGGTCAATGTCACGCGGATCCACCGGGTCTTCTTCCTCACCCACAGTTTGTCTGCGTATTGCTGCAGGACCTGCACCGCTTGGCGGGTGGCTCGCCGTGTCCGAGATCTTCGACCCGATTAACATGGCTGTCACCGAATCCTTCAATACTACGCACCTTGCGCTTCATAGCACGCTCCTCCTCCCAGCCCTCGAGCAGATCTTTCACGACACGATCAGACTCAAGCAGTAGACGTTCCAGAACAGGCGTCATCTTTCCCGGTCCATAATACTTGTCCACAATTGGTTGATGCTGGTCGACTATCATTGCAATACTCTCAAAAAGTGCCGTGAGGGCCGTAACATAGTACAGCGGCGAGGAAGCTGCGAATACGTCAGTAGTGATCCTACTACGGAGCGGAACAATTACTCTTTGCGGATGCGGGCGCTCGCACTTTCACGAGATCGACGACGAATGCGGCGTACGCCTGTAAACCCTCTACCTCCCACCCAATGGCCGGGAAGAGCTTAAAGAAGCGACTTGTCGCAGCGGCGTCTCTCGACTGTGACGCACGGTCGAATTCTTGACGAAAGATCGCCAGTAGCTCTTCACGTGCAGCTTGTAGCGTCTGTGCTGGAGGAAGGTGGCTCTCTGAAGTAGGCTGCGTTCAGTCTGTGAGAGCCGGCGGTGAGCGGGGGAGGGAACGACGTACAACTGCCATCTCTGCGAATGCGCCGGCGACGACCTCCGCTGGAAGGGCCATGGCCCGTGCACAGTGTCGTGTAGCAGATTCCCAGTCTTTGCTCTCCATCGATGACTGTAGCTCTGCGAGTGATGACTGCGCGCATGTGAAGGTAGATAAATAAAGAGAAAGGAGAGATACGGACCTTGAGTTCCATTACCTGCCCCACTCGTTCTGCTGCCTCTCTCACCCTGCGCATCTCCTCGTCTAGCGATCGCACTCGCCCGCCTACGTGGTCTGCAGTTTTGGCTGTAACCGACACGGTCCTGTCAAATTGGTGCGCATCCAATTGCAGTTCGTCTAGTTTTGGCATGAGCCCCTGCAGACGAGAGAGCGAGTCTACTATGGGCTCGCGCGCGGAAAGTATTTCTGTGAGAGACGAGGATACCTCGGCCTCTTCAGATTGGAGAAAGCTCAGACATGAGAGGATTTCTGGGAGCGTCGCTATGGTGTGAGGATTTTTTCGTGGTGTGTCGGATGTCGATGCACCATTTTGCCCCGTTGCACTAGATCCGGGCTCGACCGTCATCTCAAGCCGCGTTGACCGAGGATGACTTTCCGGAGAGAATGGTCAAAAGATGGATGAGGTGCAGTTATGGAACCCATATAGAGACTTGAAGTCGAAATGCTCACCTCAAACTTAGGATTAAGTTGAGATATGGTGCAACTGCAGAGTGTGCCCTGGCTCAGGCTGTTGACAAGCGCTGACCGAACGTAAAGTCCAGCGTTGCACCTTGTCAGCGGCCAGTTGCAAGTCGTTTTGAGCAAGTCCCGTCGAGGTACCGTCCGTATGATGGTGAGTAGCGATGAGTGCAGAATCTAAGTCCGAGTTGAGTAAATCCCGCCTCCGGGCCCGACGTCGGTGCGCGAGCACGTGAGCCATACACGGCCAGTTCGCCTTTCATTGTCCTTCATCTCGCCATTCCTTCGCGTCCTGGCTGGTCCCTGCAGTCTACGTGCTCTCACTCATTCGTCTATCCCTCAGTAAGTCCATCCCGAAAAGTAGCTGTAAGTCGCCTGGTTTTCAATACACGAGTCGCAAATGAATACATTACAGCGTCCTCTCATGTCTGAGCAACCGTCGTTACCTCCACGAAGACCAGATATTAAGCGGAAACTAGTCGTTGTTGGCGATGGTCTGCTGTGTTCTCTCTGTGGATAACCTATGTGTCTTCCTGATTCGTTGGCGAACCCCAGGTGGCTGTGGCAAGACATGCCTACTCATCGTCTATGCTGAGAACCGCTTCCCGGAGGTATGTTTTCCGATGAGGATGAGGACATTCACGACTGACTTTGCACTCTTATACCATTTAAATCTCATAGGCGTATATCCCGACCGTGTTTGAGAACTATGTGACTCTGGTTTCATTCGACGGTAAGCTGGTTGAGCTTGCGCTCTGGGACACCGCAGGACAAGAGGAATACGATCGGCTGCGACCACTTAGTTATCCTGAGAGCGACGTCATCCTCATCGTCTTCTCCGTCGACTTTCCTGTTAGTCTTATGAATGTTCAGGACAAGGTGTGTACTGCTCTCCATTCCGACCTATGGCCGTTCACCTGTTTCATCCATTTTCTTTACTACTAGTGGTACCCAGAGGTTGCACATTTCTGTGAGGGTGTCCCAATCATCCTCGTTGGCACGAAGACGGACCTACGGAGGGATGAGCAGACGAAGCGGATGCTGAGTGCACAGGGCTTGACACCCGTCGCATCTGACCAGGGAATGAGCGTCGCGCGCGAGATAGGCGCGAAGTACATCGAGTGTTCGGCAAAGTTGGGGACGGGTGTGAAGGAGGTTTTCACGCTCGCGCTCAAAGAGAGCATGCGTAACAAGTGGGGCAAGATGGTCAAGGTCCGGCGGTGCGTCGTCATATAGCCCGCCGCCTTCTGTTACTTTTGCTTTCGTCTTTGTGGGCTTGGCGCACTGCAAAGAACAAGTCCGCGCCCCAGTATATACGCACCCTCATCCCTGCTTGCATCCTGCATATCGCTCTCTGATTTACATATCCGACATTACAGTAGACCTGTACGCTCTGCGTTGTACTGACATTACCTCTCACTCCATAAAGTTGCTGCACTATCGATCTCGTTGACATCTCAGTCGTATGTGTGTGTGTCATCGTACTCTTCCTAGATGAGTTGAGGGCCGAGTCCATGGGCGACCCACTCCGCTGCTTCGTGAGTCCATATTTTTCATTTCCTCATCAAGTCCTGAACGATACTATCCAACAGGTAACAACGTTGACGAGATTGGACGCAAGTTGTAACCCGGAGCTGGTGCAGTTCGTCCGGATCCACTGATTGACGAGAAATCATATTCGTCGCGACAGCGAATCCATCGCGTACTTAGCACCTGATAGCGCTTTCGCAAACCTTGGGTTGCGTGCGCGACTCAGCTTTTTTCTGTGCTCCACGACGGACTGCCCATGACCTCGACTCACCTTTTACCATGCGACGAATGTCTTTCCTCTTAGAACACCCAAACTCCTACCCTTCTGGAAGCCGTTGTGATGCTTACCAGAAGTGTTTCGTCCTGGAGCAGAATATATCTACAGTTGATCTGGATGCCTCCTCACTTGTCAGATTGGATGTGGCACTACGAGACAAAGGCCCCGACTTCCTTCATCCTGCGACCGCCGCTCAATTTTGGGGCTATCTACTTCTCGAGCTAGATGAGGATAATATCATGGATCTCGCAACGTCAATGTGTTCTTGTTCAAACGAGCAAACCCTTTTGAACTTGCTTGACCGATTCATTCGCGTCTGTAAGTAGCGTGCTGTCTCGTTACTTTCTGGCCTTGCCGACTGCACCCTTCATTATAGAACTAAAGGGAAACACACTGCCAGTGTCCATTTACCCTTCCAGACTATCTTTCGATGCAATGCAAGAACAACTGCTATTTCTCCCTCGGCGGCCTTTGCTTAAAGTCGGTGAATCCAAGAAATTGGTAAGTCTTGTCTCTCGTGATCGCTACTCCGGTTTTCGTCCCACCATGTTCTGGCTCGTGATGATTGACACTTCGTTACATCAAAAGTTTGGACCAGGGCGTCGGTTGATAAATTGTCTGCCCCTTGTGCGAGAGCAGACTTCACGTACTGAGAACAAGCTCGTAGCTTATCCTAAAATTGCACACGTTCGGTCAATTACCTTTGTCCGACAACATCAATGTGAGCGCTTTACGCTATAGTTGACATCTTGAGCAACATTATGCTGGTTCTGTACGGGCAATTTGCCAGAGTTTGGATGTATGAAGACCTGAACAGCGATTTAATTCTCCGCGTGGAGAATGTCATGACCTCGAGTTCAGCTTTCGCATGGCATTCTACTCCCTGCGTATGTGCTTGGAGGCTATGGTGAGTGAATCAGATTGATCCACGACGTCATCTCATGGTTGTGGATTTCAGACAACTCCTGTTCGTTACAAAGTGCAGGTACACTTTCAGATCGAGCCTGGGATCCCAATGACCGTCACATTCGAACCCCGTATTCCGGATGCCCCGTTACCGTCCGCGTGGTATATCTCTCTGAATGCAGCGTGCGCTAGAGTTGCTCATTCTTCAGGAGCCGGTAGGTAGGCAGAGATGGTGCTGAGAGATGAGGAAGAGATGGACGGGTCATCAGCAGACGTTATATGTCCTATCGAAGATTCTTGATCTGAATGAGTCTGACAATCGTTATATGGGATGAGCTTTCAATTGAAGGCAATTACTGTATGCCTTCTAAGAATTGCCAAAAATGCGAGATACCACGATTCGCCCAGAGAATCAACTACAGTCATATAATAAAGTCAGGAAACAGCATGTAGACAGGGCTGCCTATGATGACCGAAGTCCTGTGGAGTTCGTAGGGCTCCTAAGTATTAGAAGTCTGATCGAGGTATCTAAGCTGCTTACCGGAGAATTCCACTATCCCGTAATTTTGGCAACCTGGATGACACCACTTCCCGCCAGATGCGCTCCGAGGGAACCTCCTCGATATTTTTTGCAGATCTAGCTACGCATAGTTGAACTATAACTCTGTCCAAACGCTTGTATTGAGGTCCAGACAGAAGTCGATCGATTCGTATCAAGACAGCGATATGATCATTATCAGATAATTGGTCAATCAATACATCTTCAGTTTTGACTCTGAAATGAACAATCTTCACTTCACGAAGTTTGGGTGGCAAAGCTCGAGCAAGAGATATGGCTGTCAATATAAGACTATGTATTTCAAGATGCAAGGTAAGGGTTTCCAGGTTGATTGCGGCGGAGAAGTCAAAGGTCAAAACTAGTAAATAGTATCATTGATATTGACATCGCTCGTATCTCAGAATTCCACTTACAATTGGGAGAAGAGGGATCGGTTGATGACAACTTTGAAAAAATGGAGACTGACGTGAGCGATGCCCCGGCAAAGTCGAGCAGTTGTTGAGAGGGGACAATGTCGAGCGACTCGCGTCCATACAGCCCAATGTGCCGTAAACGGGAGACTATAGAAGTCGAGATAGCAAATGCAAGTATGTCCTCTATTGCTGCGTACTCATGACTTCCAATACTTCCCCCGTTCAAGAGATCAAGGGAAGTAAGTGACGGACGCCCAACTGAACGGACAAAACCAGGTGTGAAGCCCGGTTTCTTGAATCTGACGTTCATGCAATTGAGCGATGACAATTGAGGGAGAGAGCAAATCAGCCGCCCAAACACGGCTGTGGTCGGAAATGCGATATCGTAAAGGAGTGTGGTGACGGTCTGGAATGTTGCACTAACATGCATGAAGATGTGAGGATGAAGCCATCCTGGAGACCATTCGCATTTGAAGATCCTGAGTACCTCTACATTTGGTAGTTTCTCCGCCAGGCATATTGAAAACGTCCCGAGTACATCGATCTTATCGTGGATAGATACGTGCTTCACGGCACTTCTGAAATTTTCCCTGCGCTCCATCATCTTCACAAGGCTGTAGACGGCTTTCTTGTTGTAAAGCGAAACACGCTGCAGAGCGTAGAAGCGAGTGCGATGGTACCATGCCCAGCAGACTGATCCGTATGGCCACATATCTGGACAATACAGCTCCAAGTGATCGATAATGCGCTCCCATATTTCGACTGGAAGCTGCATCGGTATTCTGGTGGAGGTCTCAAAGTGTGGTGATTGCGGCCCTACAGGTTCGGCAGTCACCCCGAATGCCAGCTCGACCGATTGCATTTCTCGGCTATCTGTATGGTCACGTAAAGACGTTAGAATTATATATAGTCATGGCACTCACTCTCACCCGGGACCAGAGAATGAGTCCCTTCAAATTGCTGCTTGTCCGGTCCATCTTTCGAAAGCTTCTCGTGCTCGGAAACAGACGAGTTGGCGGGCACAGATGGTAAAGCCATCCAATGTAGATAGTAGGATCAATGAAGAAAGAGCAGGAGCAGCAATGCGATTGGAATCTGCGAGCCCCGGCCGTCACTTCAACTCACAGCAAATCGCGCTAGTACTGAACAATGCCAAATCACACGCGTCTGTTGATTGCGCTGTTAGTGTCACTGCATGCAGTTAGCGGCTAGTGTACTGACAATACTGGAGGATTGAACAGAACTTAAAGGTGACTGTAGTCTGTGCCATGCCCTTGGCACCGACAGCGTCTTGCCAAACAGAGTGAGGAAGCCCTGCACAACATATAGCAAGTATGGTCCTGAACTTGCGATAATTGACAAACCGAATGGAAGTGCGCCCGTACCAGGACCTGGACGTGTACTGAAAGATCTATCAGCAGGTCGCATAATCACTACTACATAGTGAGACTCTGACCTGTGACCATGAGAGGGTTACACCGTGACCGGTCTGAGGTAGCTTGCAGAGCTGTTTCAGTGTTTGTAGTGAGCATGTGGAAGCCCACGTACACAGCAGAGTCGTGGATGAGAAGAGCGGACGAGGTAGATGTCGAAAGGCAAAAAGGCTTCAGTCGGCAAAACTCGGTCACCATTGGTGGTCAGTTGGTGGTCACGTACTTTTTAGTACTTAGCACTATGTCGATCATCATTCTGCTTTCACACCTTCCAGAGTGACAAACGCACCCAAATCTCAACATCGACGAGGAGTCGTATGACCTTTTGGTTCTCCTTGAAGGTGGTATTGCATCGATGGCACTCTAAATGGCTGTCCCGACGAACACGTCCAGTTGGTAGATCTCAGCCTGAAATCCGTGAGTGCAGCTTCCACCAGTGCGATATCTCCAGAAGCTGATCACAATGGCGTACGATGATCCTTAGCTAGTACCGTGGTCAATGTCGATACCAGATGGCGCAGAGTGGGGTCATTCTCGACACCTCTCCCGATAGAACTCTGGGAGAAGGTGATCGACCGTTTGGCATTATCCATTGAAGTCGATGGCCCGGGAGTGCTAAGGAGATGTGCCAGGGTGTGCCGGGGATGGTACCCGCGATCTGCCTTTCACCTCCGCCAGAACGTCCAGCTCGAACACAGGCAGCTCGTCTACAGGGTAGCAAATTTACTGGACGAGTGTCCCAGGATGCGCGACAATGTGAAGACCGTAACTCTCAACGGCACAATCGGCCTTCTCGGAGTGTTCGCTATGCGAATGGCGGGGAAGCTGCTCGTAGTTGAAGAGCTTATCGTTCAAGACCGGTCTGCACGCTATATTGAATGGGTCCCCGCGCTGTTGCACAATCAAGTTTTCCTCCACATAAGTGCCACGTTTGGCTCGGTCACCAGCCTCAAACTCTTTTGTGTCACCTTTCCTTCTGCAATGATTTTTCAGCGGCTCATCTACGCTCTACGCTCCCTTACCCACCTTGCGTGCGCCTGGGTGGGGTTCAAAGACGTACAGAAACGACCTGCCTTCCTACCTCCAGAGGGTGGACATCTTTTATCCCTCAGTCTCCGATATTGTTATGACGTTGTCAAATTCTTGGTGGAATCACCCATCATTTCGACCGTCAAACATGTCGAATTGCTCGATTATCGCCACGCAGAGCTGAGTGGGTCTATCCAGCGGCTTTTGGAAGCAGTCGGCGAATCACTAATGAGTATCCACATTCGCCCTGACCGAGATGTGATGCGTTCGAAGGGTACGTCGCATGTTAACTGTATTGCCCCGCATGCGCTTATGCCACTGTCAAGAATTCCCGTTGAACCTCAAGCGTTGCAGCAACATACAAATGCTATTGCTCGACTTGGATAGTGCACACCTATCAAGGCAATCTGACTGGCTAGTTTCTCTCTTTGCCGAAACATTGCCTTCGATGCTTCAGCAAATAACTATAACATTTACTGAGACGGTTGCATTTGAAACGCGCCAGTTCCGTGACGTTATCAGCACCCTATATGATGTTCTCAGCGGAGATTTTGGAAAGCCAATCGATGATGTCCTGTGTGGGCTTCGGTTTACTAAACTCCGTGTCATTACCTTTCAATTACGGATTATGTGCTACCGTGACTGGTCCCAGGGCTCGCAGTGGTGGCTCAGGCAGGTACCGGAAGAGAAAGGGTGGCAACAGCACATTGTATCACGATTTCCTAAGTTGCACGCACAAGGGATTGTTCGGTGAGTGCAAAATTGATTCTCCTTCGCTTGGCTAATTCCTGCCACTAAAACAGAACTCCAGTAAGCATAGAACTTCCATAGGTGCATCAAACGCACGAAGCTATATATAATATATTCGCGGTATTCTAGAATGATCGGATTCGTTCACATGCCGGAGATCCCGAAGGTCAGGTAAAGCCCTTCAACGATCTTAAGCAACAAACTAGGAAACCATTCACTACGCGTGCCTGAAAATGAATTTTACTTGTATTCATGACGAGGTTAGGTTCGGAACCAGCAGCGAATCAGGCTGCCAATACGAGCGAGGATCCGGTATCATTTCTAAGAATTGCCACTACATATTACCAACAACTGGGTCCACGAACGACGTGTGCGTTGCTGACAGGAGGATACCGTTGTCGTGGCTTTGAAACTTGAAATTTAAGTAACACCCACTAATCAGCTTGAAGGAACTATACACAAATGTCTGCGTGCAACATTTTGATCCTGCCCAAAACTGGCTACATATTTTACTGTGCAAATGGTGGCGAATGTACATTGATAAGTATGCCATTGAGGGGTCGGCCTTACTCCAGCTACGATGACTACATAGACACACAAATGTGAGTTATTATAAGTTAACCAGAGAATTGCCAGGCACTAAACCTACATCATCGTCATGAACCATTGTAGTGAGGTCAGGAAACAGCATGTGAATAGCGCTACCTATAATAACTGGAGTCCTTATGCCATACGCAAAGCGCGCAGTCATTGGATGTCCACCTGCTATATATATGCCACGTACTGGAGAATTCCACGCTCTCGTATTTTCAGCAGTCTGGACGAGAAAAACTCTCGCCAAATGTGCTCGGAGGGGATTTTCTCGATATGTCCTGCGTTCAGTCCTATAACCAGCTCAAATGATACTTTGTTCAAAACCTTATATTGAAGTCGAGAAGATAGAAGTTGGTCAACCTGTGCACAGGCAACGGTGTGATCGTCGTCAGATAGCATGTCGATTAACTCGTCTTCAGCTTTATCTCTGAAGTAAATAATCTTCACTTCACGAAGTTTTGATGGCGGAGCGTGAGCAAGCCACATGTCTGCCTGTCCAAGAGGACGACGGTCAAGCCACAGGGTCAATGTCTCCAAGTTGATAGCGGCAGAGAAGTCCACAGTTAGAACTGGCAAATAGAGGCGTAAATATAGCATTGCTCGTGCCCTAGTGCTCCACTTACGGTCAGGGGGCGAGACAGCAGTTGATAGCAATGGCATTGAAAGGACGGTGATTGATGAGAGCGATACTGCGGCAGAGTCAAGCAATCTTTGAAAGGTGCTAAGATCAAGCGGCGGCTCGCATTCGACCAACAGCATGATGTGCTGTAGATGAGTGGCCACCGAGGCCGAGACAATAAATTCAAATATGTCTTTAGTTGCCGCATACTCCTGACTTATATCGCTTCCTCCATTCAGAATATTTAAGGAAGTAAGTGATGGACGCCCAGTTGAACGAATAAACCCCGGCCTGAATCCTGGTCTTTTGAAGTTTACATCTATGCATGTGAGCGACAGCAATTGGGGGAGTGAGCAAATGAACCGCCCAAACACGGCTACCGTCGGAAATACGATGTCAGAAAGGAGGATATTAGTGACGGTCTCGAACGTAGCGCTGACATGCAGGAAGATGTGTGGATGAAGCCGTCCTGGAGACCATTCACAGTTCGAGATTACGAGCCCATCGACCTTTGGTAGTCTTCCCGCCAGACACGCTGAAAATGTCCCGAGTACTTCAATATTATTGTGTATGGAGACGCGCCTCACGGCATTTCTGAAATGTTCTTTGCGCTCCATCATCTTCACGATATTGTAAACGGCTTTCTTGTTGTCAAATGAAACACGTCGCAGAGCATGGAAGCGAGTGCGATGGTACCACGCCCGGCAAACTTGTCCGTATGTCCACATATCCTCTCCTACTAGATCGAGTGGGTCTAGATGATCGATTATGTGTTCCCATATTTCGACTGGAAGTTGTATTAGTGCCCCGACGGAGATCTTAATGCGCGGTGGTTGCGACTCTGCATGGCTGCCATCTACTCCACATGTGATCTCGTATGATTTTGTATTTTGACTATCTGTGTGGTCGTGTATAATCAGTAGAATCATATTCACTCATAATACTCACCCTCGCCCGGGATTGGGGAATGAGTCTCCTGCTGCTCACCCGGTTCATCATTGGAATGCTTCTCGTGCTCGGAAAAGGACGAGTTGATGGATATGCATGATGTAGCCATATAGACTGTGGAGTCAGCACAGAGAGGGCGAGGGCAGCAATGCGATTGGGAGTCTTACTATGAGCCCTAGCGGCTATCGGCCGCAAACCTCGCAATTCCTAAGTATGGGCACGATGTAAACACTCCGATCAAACTCTGATAGCAATATGAGTGCTAGGAGCCTCAGGCCTCAGGCCTAAGTACTGAGCGGCGAGTGTGGTCTCTACCATAAGTTCAGATCGAGTAAACCGGGCGAGGCGATGGAGAGACCCTCGAGATACCTCGACACCGATGAATACGACGACAAAGCTTTTGTTGATTGTCAAACAAGTAGACAATACAATCAAATCAAGTGCTACAGCCTCGAGCTCAGACACGGTACGTACACACTGCACAGATTTACTGGTCAGTAATGCAGAAAGTGTAGAACGCTAGGGGCCATAGCCTCGACCGGGCGAGCGTAGGGTCAAAATGCTCATGCCATCGTATATAGAAGAATCAATAAGTGAGAGTAATGGTCCACGTTGTCTGCAAGGGAAAGCTGGCTGGTGAAACTCAGCCACTGGCAACGTTTCTACCCTGTGCGAGACTGGATATATACATTACTGTGCGAGCCAGACAACGCACCTACATGTCCGGATTCAATGGTTACTTGACAACAGCAATGATATAGGGAACTAAATCGTGTGCGTTCAGCAACTGTCCGACTGCTAGAATGATTCAAATTAAATCAATAAAAGTGATGATCTATCCCTGAATTCTGTCGCATGGAGTCCTTGCCAGCGCCGACAAATACAACGAGAAAGCATCGTCAAAGCCCTACAGAACTGCACCGGACCTGGGTTTAATGACAAAACGAGTAATATTGGACAATACGATCCGACCAAGTGCAGCAGCCTCCGAGTCTCAGAAAGATACCTACCAGCCATGCAACCAAAGAATGTAGAATGGTCAGGGACCCTAGTCGTGACAGGGTTGAGTAAACCAGAGGTCGCTCGCCATGATGCGTACGGTCAAGAATGCTCGTCCCAGTCAGTCGCTGAGAGCAACGGTCCACGATGTCCAAGCAAAATTGCTGGTGAATCTCGATCATGATATATGGCGGTGTCTGTTCCTCCTTATAAAGTGTATAACCACTCGCTCTAAAAGCGGGACGGATCAATTGACGATGGACGGACTGCAACCGGGCAGTTGCTTCCAAGGTGCATAGCGATCCACACGACGTCGTTCTCATCAGGATGTAATGCTTTCCGCGCGGTCATAGGTGATGCAGCAGATCCGAACCAAGATGAACATTGCTGAAGAGAAGCAGACTGATCGGGGACCATAGCCAATCCGCAGAATCCCTGGCGAGCAATGATGAGATCCTACGATTGATTATCTTAGCTTAAAAGCAGCATATAGGAAGGATAAGCAGGCACACACACGCCGGTCTCTCAAGACGGGTCATTGGTCACCCACTTTCCATGATCTCGACGGTCACCGCGGGTCTAGATGATTGAGTGCAGACAATCAGCCTGTGGCGACTAACCGAGCTCAGCTCGTCTACTCACCGGAGGACACCTCGTGCATGCAGTCTCGGAAGTCTGGACGCGAGCATCCTTGTCCAGGAGTGCCGATCCGGGACACGGGCGAGCTCTGTACGCTCGACGAAGGCTTGGAACATGAAAGTGACTGTCTTGAGCGCGCCGTACTGAGATCCGGACAAAATCGCGTCGAGCTCAGCACAGTTGCGTTCGTCGAGCATGCCGTAGTGAACCTCTGGCGGAACGTCATCGAGATTGTACCGGCGAACCTTGATTTCGATCTCACGGAGCTTGGACGATGGTGTCTTGGATATGACAGCAACTAGCCAGGCCAGGTCCCGGATGCGGAGCTGAACTGTCAGAGAGGTGAGGGATGTGCAGAGCCCGAGGTCTAGAGGAAAATCTGGGAGGACCGGAAATCAGCAGACGTCGATGCGTTAGGAATTTAAAGAGATGCAGCGCACCACTCCACGCGACCGCGTCTTGTGGGGGACGAATGTACAGGGAGGAGAGCGACGCCCCTGCAGCGCTCACTAACCTCTGGCAGGCGGTACTTTGGTCTAAATCGTCAAGAAGTAGCCGAACGTGGTGGAGCCCGGTTGCGATCGAGGTCGCGACGAGAAAATCCATCACTTCATCACACTCCCAGAGATCAATGTTAGTCAGCGCGAGTCCATCGCGCGGACGGACAGCGCCCGGCGCGAACACAGGGACTTTGAATTCTAGCAGGGAGCATTCGAGCGAGGAGAGACAGGGAAGCGCACACACGAGGCGTCCGAAGACGCTGACGGAGGGGAAGGAGACGTCGCCGAGCACGAGACGGATGACGGAGGCGAACGCTGCGCGGATATGAAAGAATATTTGGGGGTGAAGCTGCCCGGGCTTCCAGTCGCACCGCCGGAGACAGAGAGTTTCCACGCGAGGCAGCTTCTGTGCCATGCACGCAGAGAATGGACCCAAGACGTCGATGGTCTTCCAGATTGTCACCGTTTTTACGGAATTTCGGCGACTCTCATCACCGCCCATTATTTTGACGAGACGGTACACTTGTTTTCGGGTGTTATCATGGAACCCAATGGCCTGCCGCGTGTAGAAACTGCATCGCGTATACCAGGCCTTGCAGACTGTTCCGTATGTCCATAGGGTGTGCGTTTCGTATTCGAACCAACCTGCAACGAGGTGGTCGATTATCTGCTCCCAGACTTCTACAGGGAGCCGCACCCCAAAGCTGCGGACGGCAAGATGTGTATCGTCGCCTATACTTGACGTTTGACGCACGTCAAAAGACGATGTTGAGCGCACTCACTAGAAATATTCGCAGCCGTAGTCTCCTGCTGCAGTGATGCACCTCCCAATGGCTCATGGACCCCAAAATCGGATTGTGTGACGGATATATGCACCATTGACATAGCGCTCGGAGAGTAGGGAACGGGATCAAACGTGTCAAAGTTCTCCATCCTCATTGTTGGTCTTTAACGCCAGTACAATAAGCGCTACACAGCCCTGATGCCGTGTAGTCGTCAATCATCTCTCCCACAAAGAGACAAGTCATCATTGCAATTGGGGATCCTGAGACCCTCATCTGTATGAACTTATCCGCTGATGAGACTCGTGTGTTCCGCGCTCTTAAATGCAGTATGAGGAGAGCGTATATGGTGCGAGAAAATACATACCGGGGTGCTTTGACAATTGGGGAAAGCACGTAAGTACTGCTGCGGACGTTATCGCTGCATGGGCACCGTGCAGTGGAATTTGGTACGTAAAAATCACTGATCCAGTATTATTCACTCACCCGCCGCTTCGTGAATATAAAGATAAATTCAGTGTAAATTCGAGGGTGAAGATTTTCGCTGCCGCTGAACAGATAAGGGCTGCAGGTAGTGGTTGAGGCCCAGGTCTGGAACCATGGTAAGTCCAGCAAGAGGCATGATATAAGAGGCGACGTTCCTGAGATCAATCGGTGGTGGTGACAAATCAGAATCATGCCGAACGACGAGGAAATCGATAGACTCGCAGCCCAGTCGGACTTAGGACGCGTTCCTACCGTTTTTGCTGATGCCTCTTGAGTAAAGGAGATTGTGAATGCGAAAACGAAGAACGTGTTCTAACGGAGGAGCTGCTTCCGCAAAAGTCAAGGCGGCTGGGTACGAGCCTGGGGAATCGAGTGTCGAGAGACGCATCTGGTGTTTTATGATGCTGATGCTGCTTCATTCCGATCCAACAGGCGATCCAGATGGATTTCAGACAGGACTGGTCCTGGTGGAAGACCGACTACGGGGCGTCTGCGAGCGGTGCGGACGCTTTCACAGTTTCATTAATTAAAGCAGCTTTGCAGCGAGCTCAGAGCAGCATCACAAAAAACCAGCGGTGCGACGCATACCCCGGCTTGGGCTGCCCAGAACACATGTTGGACTGCCAAGGATCAGATCTTCAGAACCAGGGATAGGGAGCCTATGAGTGTCGCGCCATATGTCATCATATCGGCGGCAGGTCGATTGGGGGTGCATACTGCCGCATCGCCGAATATCCGCACGAGTGTGGCAGAAAGGCGGGTGGCCGATCACGACGGGGGGCGCACCGCGCTCAGTGCGGACCCGTCGCTCCCGCGTACCACCATCATCGTCTGTGAGTGCACGTAGGACCTCTGCTGAACCGGCGCGCGACAGCCTGACCATCATTGCAGGAGCTCGACCACGGTCTGCTGCGCCCAGTTCGATATGAGATGCGAAGGACACCGCACTGGCCACTACTAAGTCGGGCCATGTTATCGCGTTCACAACGGCCAAGTCCGCTGGACAGGGGCTCTCTTCGAACGTATGTCACCATATCCGCATCACGCGCCCTGCACTCGTTGGGCTATTCGCTCGCATTTCCTCTCGGAGGATTGTTAGGAGCGGTGGGTGCTCCTCCAAGCCCGAATGCCGGCGCCGAAAAATTGCTCCCGGCAAACAAGTGTTCTAATGTAACTCAATGTAACCGCCTTTGTCCTCTGCCGGTTCTCTGATGCGCGGCCTGCTGTTCGCGTCCGGCACTTCATTAGCTCGAAATTCGCAGTTTGGGGTCTTGACATGCTGCCAGCGTGACCCACCTCGCCCCTATTGCCATAGGGCTGTGGACGTTTCACGCCGTAAATTCGTGCCCTGTGTTGGTGCCCCCCTCGTCCATCTCGACTCCGCCTTGGACCATCTTTAAAGGCTAAAGTGACTGAAAGGGTTGCACGATACGACTCTTCACACGACTCATCATGGTGCGTCCAGTCTTCCATCTCGTTATGAGGTCCTTCGCATTGACCGCTTGCCCAGCCACCTCAATTCCTGCCGATTGAATTTATCATTGTCGGCGCTGGCGTAGCCGGCCTGACTGCTGCCTGTGCACTGAGCAGGGTAGGACATCGAGTAACGGTGCTGGAGAAGGAAGACAACTTCCAAGAGGTAGGGGCATGTACCTCCGGTGCATATAGCCAGTGTAACTCAAACGGTTTCAACCCCACGAGATACAGCGAAATTATGGGGGCGGCTGCAGACTCGCTCCCAACATGATCAAAGTGTTCTACCAGTGGGGTCTAGAGGAAGATTTTAGAAAGATCAGCATGGTCGGTCAACATATGGCCCTCACTCGTTGTGAGTATCTACTTCATCTGTGTGCCCGTATATACTGATATCAGATCGAGCGCATTTCGTCAGATGACACAGGCAAGGTCGCCTTATCTGGAGGATGGGGAGAGGGATTCGAAGTCGGCGGGGTGGGTGAGTTCGTACAGATGCACGTACGTCGTCTGCACATTACATTACCACATGGTTATAACGGGGCCGTCTCCAGTTTGCAGACTTCCGCAAACTCCTATATGAATCGGCACTGAAATTTGGAGCCAAAATTCGCACGAAAGTGATGGTAGAATCCCTGTCGCCTGAAGCCGCCAAACCTTGCGTAACGCTTGCGTCTGGCGAGAAACTCTACGCTGACGTTTTGATTGGCGCCGACGGCCTTTGCTCGATATCTCGCGCAACAATGCTAGGCGATGCGGACAGGATGACCAGAAAAAAACTGGTACTGTTCAAGTAAGTGTATTGACATGTGCGGGCCTTGGTCCATTGCTGATGACGGGGTATCTACCTAGCGCATTAATCGCGCGAGAGCCCATGATGGCGGACCCAGACTTGAGGAGCATGCTAACAGACAATGTAAGGCTGCGTAGATGACTGCGAGTTCGTGTATTGATGCGCCATCAGCAGTACAGTAAGTTCATACTCTGGTTTGGTGGTGGCCGCGGTGCGTCAGGGTTCGCCACGGTGCGTGCGCTCACGTCTAGAAGTCGCTGAGACCGCTGATCGAGAGGTCGAAGAGGAGCAATGAGTATTGCTTGCAGGTATTCGCGCGGGACAACGACTACCCGTTTCCCGTCTCTACTGTCGACAAGCAGGAACTTATTGGCGCATTGGGGCCGTGCGAGCTGCGGTGCGTCTGCCCGTGTTAATGCAGTGTCCGTGCTTGTCTTATTCGTCTAATGCAGGTTGCGCAAGCTGGCGGAAATGGCCCATAACGTGATAGCGGTGCCCATCATCGACCAGCCGCATCTCGAAGACTGGCTGCACAAGGACGGCCGCTTTCTCGTGATCGGCGAGGCTGCACATCCGCTTACAGTCAGTCGCACCGTGTATTCGCGCTCCCCACACACTGACCGAGGCCGACTTGTGCACAGACGGGCTCCACATACACTGCCGGATTGGCGGCGGGGGATGGAATGATGCTCGGCAGGCTGTTCTCGCATCTTCACGAGCCGGAACAGATCACGCCGTTCCTGACTGCGGTCGAGGAGCAAAGACAGCAGCGCATCGCGCGCGCGCTCGAAATTCAGAACACGAATCCGGTGGCGATGTCGATGCCTGCGGGCGTCGAGGACAACAAGCAGTCCCTTGCGGTCGCGGAGCAGATTGAGCGCATGAGCGAGAGCGAGTACAACGAGCTCGCGGACGAGGTGCGTGCATTGTTCCGTCCTACTGGGGGTGCAGTGTATCGATCCGGGTGAATTCCTAGGCGCTGCGGGCGGTTTTCGCATATGATCCAGAGGAGGAGGCGGACGACTGGTGGATGCAGTGGGGGATACTGCAGGAGCGTTCGGTGAAGATCGTTCCGGTCACGTTCGAGACGATAACAGTGGTCGAAGAAAACGAGCAAGTGTGACAGCCTGGCAACGCGGTCTCGAGCGTTGTGCTACTCCATCTGTATCATTTAGAGGCGTTTTTGCCCAGCTATACCCTGTCGTCTGCTATGCATGCTTTGATGGTTTGTTTAAATTGACGCAGGCGCGTATGCGCGTGTAATCAATAGAGGGCATATAATGTGAATGGGTTTTGATGTCGATTGGGCTACTTATTATTCAATCGTGTTGAACGAGGACGCTCTAAAATTATTTACACCGCAATGTTTGTCGCATTGTGTAGGAAAATTGCCACTTCACCTTTTCCAAGAATTCTGCCGTCGTCGTGTCACCAATTAATTACCATCATTATGATTGAGTGTTGCGGGCGACAAGGTTGCCTTTGGACGCCGAAGCACCATGACCAAGTCGTCCCTGTCACAGGCTGTAGATGTTGTTCTCTTATGTACTGTCTAGCATCCACTAACCACTGCTACTGATGATGTAACGTCGTTTATCTAGTAAGTTGCGGGTGATTGGGCGTTGTCCGCCTCGTAGCAGAGACTACAATGTATGCCCAGTAAGTACTGACATCGGCATCTCGTGCCTACGCAACTTCAAGTTTTTTTGCCCTCTCGATAGAAGTAGCCCAGTCGTATTAGTTCCAAGTATGTGTACGGACCGGTTATCACCGCGTCTTAGCACATTCGGTTGCTTGTTGCGGTATATAAATGCTGATTTCATCATCATCATCGATATCGCAGATAACTTATTTACGTAAGTAGCCGCTGGTTCTCATACTTTCCAATCACACTGTTGCTCTCGCCTCTCTTCACCAATACTACATGGCTATACCACCCACGTCTGCTTACTTATCCACTTCGGGGCACGAGGGAATTTCGCAGGATGAACCGGGCGAGCCTGACCTGGTTAGTGAGGGTGAGTACTATGAATAAAAGATGATTCTAGTATATCTTCATGACCACACAGATGGCAGAGGAATGCGCTCATTTGACATCACACGTGAGGCAGCTATCGTTTCCGCAGAGCCTCGACATCCACACTTTGAGACTCCTACCGAAATGTCGATACAGCTTCCAGTCGAAATTTGGGAGCGTATAATCGACCATCTGGGAGAACGGTTCGACCCAGGAGAGGATATGTGGACATATGGATTAGTCTGCCGGGCGTGGTACCATCGCACTCGCTTCCATGCTCTACGACACGTTTCGCTCACCAGCAAGAAAGCCGCTTACAGCCTTGTGAAGATGATGGAGCGCAATGCGTATTTCAGAAGTGCCGTGAGGCGCATTTCCATCCACGACAATATTGACGTACTCGGGACAATATCAGCATGTCTGGCGAGGAGACTACCAAAGGCAGATGCACTTCGAATCTACAGCTGTGAATGGTCTCCAGGACGACTTCACCCTCACATATTTATGCATATCAGGGCTACGTTCGAGACCGTCACCAGCGTCTTCCTTGCCGACGTCGCATTTCCGACCACAGCCGTGTTTGGGAGGCTCATTTGCTCTCTCCCTCAATTGTCGGCGTTCACGTGTATGAACGTGACATTCAAGAGACCAGGTTTCAGGCCAGGCTTTATAAGTCCGATGGGGCGTCCGTCGCTTACTTCCCTCAATATCCTGAATGGTGAGGACGATGACAGTCGGGAGCATGCGGCAATTAAAGATATACTTGAATTTGTTGTCTCGGCCTCGATGGTAACTCATTTGCGGCATATCGGGCTGTTTGGATGCGAGTCACTCAATCCTAGTGTCTCTCAAAGACTAGTTGACTCTGCTGCAGCGTCGCTCTTGTCGATCTATGTTGTATCGGCACCACTGTCATCAACCTCCCCTGATTGTATGTGCAGCACCGCGACACGGGTGATCTTAGATACTGACGTCTCTAATCGCCAGTTTTGACTTTAGACTTTTCTGCTGCCATAAATTTGGAGACCCTCACACTGTGGCTTGACGACTGTCATCTTGAACGAGCAGCCGAGTGCCTGGCTCGGGCTTTGCCATCAAAACTTCGTGAAGTCAAGGTTGTTCGCTTCGTGGATGAAGCTGAAGACGACTTAATCGACAAGCTATTTGACGACCACCATGTCGCTGCCTACACGCGCATTGATCAACTTCTATCTGGACCTCAGTATAAGGTTTTGAACGAAGTTTCCTTTGAGCTGGTTATAGATGTAGACGCAAGTGATATGGATGAAATTCCCTCCGAGCGCATTTGGCACGAGTTGTTCTCGCCCAGACTGCCAAGATTACGGGAGCGTGGAGTTCTCCAGTACGTGACTTAGATATAGCATTTAGATGTCTAATAACTAGCTACACTTTTTGTGTGTGGCACAGGACTGCGGTCATCATTGACAGCCGTAGCAACATGTTTCTTCCCGACGTCATGTGACTATGATGAAGGCTCTCGGGCGATTGCTCAACCAAATCAGTATGAGAAGTCGCTTTCGGTGACTACCAGTAAGTACGTACCGGGTCGTAGTAATATGTAAAAATGTATTAATCTAATAACGTACGATAACAGAGAAACGTCTTTCGGAATTCCTAGCCAGAAAAAGACGTAGGAAGATTCACATTGACTACTCACTATATACTCTATCACAGCTGTCCAATCACTCGCATATGTTGCGCCGTGTAGACTGTCACCTGGTACAGTTGATGGATAGCAGATAGCGATCAACGCCATGATGAAAAGCAATTCTTCCTCAAAGTCACTACAGCACATTGATTTTCACTGCAGGCAGCACAATTGTACATATTTGACTAGTAGTATAGTAGAAGCTGATATGAATCAGTATAGTCAGACTAATATCGTATCAATTGACGAGATGCGTATGTGAACATACCAGATCAAAAGACAAGTGGCAGGGCCAGAAGTTTCATACAATTGGCTTATAGTAGCCACTTCCGCCCTGTACCCATCGATCCTCAGTGACAATTTGTGTTCTACAAGAATAATAAATTGTCCTGGTCCGACGTCAGTCAAGTAACCGATCTCACCGGAGCCTTTCCTGCGCACACAGGTGCGGAAATCGCAATGAAATGCATTGCCACCAGTCATGTTCAGACGGTATAAGGCTAGGAACATCGACATGTAGGCGAGCTTCAAGCATAAGCGTGAAGGTGATTGCACGGAATTTAGTGAAACGTGAATGAGATAAGAGCTGATCAACTTTGACATAAACATCATCACGAAAGACAGAGAGGACTTGCGCAAGCGTCACATCTCTGCTAAAATCGACAAGTTCTACGATGACGGTTATAGATACTTCACGGAGCTTCGAAGGGGAAATCCCCGAGAGTAAATGATGCAAAGAATCCGGATCTTCAGTGGGAAAGCGCGACGTGAACTCAAAGACTTCCAGATGTGGATTATGTCCAAGATGAATCTTAGACCCTAGAACGCAGCTTGTCATTAGTTACATGAGAATCTTCACTGTAGGTGCTTACCCGTTAAAAATTTTGCGTACGGGTCAGGATGAAGATGAACACTCAAAAGGGATTCTCCGACACCTTCCAGGAGTTGCTGGATGCGATCAAAACGCATATCTTCGTCTTGGATATCCTCAAGAGTCAAGCGTTTAAGTCCATGACTTATAGATGTCGTGAGCAGAAATGGGATCGTGTCAGAGCCCAAGCCACTTAAATGGACTTCTGTGATAGCATTATGTTTAGGTGGTGTAGCCCGACCATCGGCACGGAAAGTGAGCCACTGGCATTGGAGATACGTCAAGTTTGGTAGTGCGCAGACCAGCCGTCCAAATACGACGACAGACGGAAACGTCACCCACTTGAGAGACAGGCGAGTAATCGAGGTAAAAGTGGCGAGGAACATTGGCACGTCAGCGTGCATGAGTCCAGACTTCCATTCTGTTGGACCACGGATACCAATCATCTGTAGAGAAGGCAATTTCCGGACCATCATCGTCGCGAATAGGCCCATCGCGTCCATTCGATCGAAATGAACAAGATGGATAGCGTTCTGGAGGTAGCGATGTTTGCGAATCATCTTCGCAATACCAGAAACCTGGCCCTTGTCGTGCATCCGTACATTCCGGTAAAGATGAAAACGACACCTGGGTTCCCATGCCCGACAAACGGTGGCAAATCTGTTCAAAGCGTCATCCGTGCCCGATGATATTCCGTGAATGTCTTCTGCTAGAAAGTCGATGACGCGCTCCCAGATCTCGATGGGAAGTTGCACAGAATGAGATTGGGTAGGACCTCGAAGATGTCGCATCACGGCGGAGCCTGCCAGGTCTGAAATACAAAAGACACATGTTGAATGATATCCACACTAATGATCTAGAGAGCTCACTGAATATCAGAGTGCATATGGCCACATAAAGGTATATCCCTACATCGTAAATGTCAGCTATTTTATTCCATGCCCACCTGCAGTGAGTCCACCATTGAGATGACATCACGGCCAGGCTCTACTATGAACAGTCAAAAAAGGATATGTGTAAGGCTTTTGCGACAAGACTACCGGAGAGCTAGCTCAGCAGTAAGTAGTATGAATCGTGATAACAAGTCGTTCCACTGGCAGCTCTGAGCTAGTAGCGTTGAGCAATGACGTCGAAACTAATATGGATGCCGGCGCACTGCAGAGCTCTCCCAAAGTCGTTGTAGTAGAACAGTAAGTATTGATTTCCTGTACACAGTTGGGATTTTGAGGCCTTAGGACTTGTTGGCGCGCACTTTCAATTGGGCCACGATGCGTGGCGGCAGTGCGCATGGCACTGCAGTGGCCCGAGGGAGTTGCGATCAACGACGGCATGTGACCACGACGCGTCGGTACATCACGATGGCGCGTCTTAAGAAGTGAAGTGACATATCTGTTGCCTCTAAATTCTGCGAAATAACACCAATCTTGCTATGGAAATTCAACGAGAAGATCCAACTCGGATATCGGTAGACTCTCTACCAGCCTGGCTGCGTATAAAGGCGAATTACACCAGAGCCGCAATCGCAGCCCTCGATGAAGAGCTGGTGACAAACGGTCAGATACAGGAACGCGATGCTCTACTCAAGCACTTGTATAATGTATGTTGCTTGCATTATATCTCATTTAAAACTCATGCACACCCCAGTTTATAGACAAAACCTTTGATATTACGCGACCGAACTTGCGTATAAATGGTCGCAATTTTGAGGAGGTCGACATCAGCGAACAAGGTCAGAATTATGACCAGTCGGCGAATCATCACTGACAGGATAGCAGAAGAGGAACCATTCGACGAAGGTTTCGACAGGCACATCTGGTCACTTGCAGAGCAGAGCTTAAAATGGGACCGAGAGATTGCAACAAAGCGGCGCGAGCATCCAACCAAAGTTGAGGAGCTCATGCAAGAACTTTTGGAACGTCAGCGCGAGTTGGAAGACGAACCATATGAAGGGTCTTCTACGGAGGGACAATTGGACCATGATGATGATGCAGGTATGTCCGCTCACATCAGTGAATGCTACCTCCGATAATAGATCTGTGGACTTCGTAGGCTTGAACCACATGCTCGAGAATGTGGGCGAAGTTGCTATAAAGATTAATGCTATACACGCAGAGCTGAAACAGGTAGGAGATCTAACAGCGGTACTTTTCCATCTGCTAACATCTATGATTCAGTCGGTTGCTTCGCAGCTCGAACGATCTCAGAGGGTTCAAGAAGTCGCAGATGAAATGAAAGCCCTGAAGCCCTAGGTTCAGTGTACATGATACATTTCCAACTGTAACTTACATGTAGTGCTATCATACGGGACTGACATCGTCGGCATCATTGTCGACTGTCGGATCTCTCATGTAGGGGAGACTGAGATTTGGGAATACAACAGATGCAGAGCACGAACAAATACAGCGGAAACATCAGCTATGAACCGCGAAAGCCTCCTCGGCCACCTCTTCCTCCACCTCTTCCCCAGCCTGGAGCGCCCCTACCACCGCCGCGCCCCCGATCAAAGCCACCTCTTGAACCACCTCGCCCTCCTCTACTTCCACCACGTTGGAATCCCCTGCCGCCCGGCGCACCGCGTCCTCGTCCTCCAGGAGCACCACGACCACCGCGACCACGCTCTGCAGCGTGTCAATCAGCATTGACCTAACACCAGAGAAACAGGACATACTTGTAACACCTACAGCTCGAGACATAAGCATGGTGATACTGAGAGGACAGAGAAAAAACACACCTCCGGCAGCTTTCGGTTTCGGCAGAAAGCGCTCAATAGGTAGCAGCTTATCACCTGCAATATACACTTTATCGCCCTTTTTGAAGCTACTCGCGACCATCCCGGCGTCCATTTTAACGGAAAAGTAAACTTCGTTGATGGGTCCCAAAATTTCGTCTACTCGTCCAATGACGGACTTGTTCTGCAGGTAAATCGGCGCGTTGAAATATGGCACCTTTTCTGGCATGACAGAAGAACACAGCATTTCATCTTCCACCGCGTGTATGAACGAGCCCATTTCTGAAATGATTCACGCAGTTAACTCGCCAATGCACAGAACCCGCAACCGGCACCTCACCAAGGACCGCGTCTGGAGGACCGGTATCGCGCTGTGTAAAGCCTCCTCTACCGCCTCCTCTACCGCCCCCGCCTCCACGGCCTAGCATGTAGTGAATGACTGCAAAATACAAATGCAAAGACGTCAACTCACCACCACCTCGACCGCCAAATCCTCCTCCTCCTCTACCGCCGCGATTCATTAGGCTACAACTGATTTCGAGCAAGAAACTTTATAGACAAGTCACGAGAGAAGATATCGTTACGAGACCTAGACTAGAAGTTGCCTTGAGGTTAATTGTAGAATGCGTACATTGCAGAAGTCGCACATATTTTCGGGTGGCGGGGCGGAAATTCCCACGATGGACTTTCTCTTCGACCGTCCAGCTGTGATCGACTGCTCGCTTTCTCTACACGATGCTGCAGACGACAAAGACGACATTATACTTCCAGAAGAGCTCTTGAATGCTCTGAAAAGACCAGGATTTGATGACGAGCCTCGTGTAGCCGTCTCTATTACTCGCAAAGCGACTTCAAATGGATCAAGTCTAAAGTCGTTGGTTGCGTGGGCCGTTTTCGATGTCAACGTATGTTAATGTTCTCTTGTGCGTTTTCCGCCTCGTCATCATATGTGATACTTTAGGCCACTGCCGCTGCCATTCCTAGGTCTTGGCTGGAGCACCATTCTAGTATCTTCCAACAGAGTGACCTGTTGAGCGGCCAGCCTACCCATTTCATCAAGACCGTTCGCCCAGTCGTAGTATCGGAAGCCGTCTTTTCCGCTATGTCGCATGATTCTTATGACTTTGCATTTACCCATAAAACCTCCTTGGAGAGTTGGCTATTCGGCAAGAATGCCATTCTTCGGCAAGGCAGTATATACTCATTTGATGACCAAGATCTTGACGAGCACTCGACGAACGAAGGGGGATGCAATATATATCGCTACCAGCTAGCAATGATGTCTCCTGCATTGCAAGGTTACCTCAAGAGAGGAAGTTCTCGAATTTATATATCTTATTCACCGCATCTCGAAGAGACTCATGCAGCGGCGTCCTCTTATTCTCGCGATTTGGACATGCAGTCTGATGCGAGCTCTTCGGAGCTGGAATTCGAGATTACCGAAGGTTTCCTTGCTGGTTCTATTCTACAACCTGCGCCCAGTGGCATATTGTCTTCGCATTCATATACTTCAGATGTCGCCGACACAGAACTTATCACGGAAAACATTCCAGATGAGAAATCACACATTTGTCTACCTGAATGGCATTCCATAGCCATCCCGTTGGATAGGTTCATCTCTCAACAGGATGATTGTACAATTTATCTTCACGTCTCGGATTTGAGCCATGTCGGAGTATTGGAGGGCGATTGGGTAGGCTCTCGTATCGTAGCTTCTCTGCACGTATGCTTATGAATGGAAGGCTGTGTTGAAATCTAGCAGCGGATCTGCTCAACGATTAGTTCGTGTATGCGTACAGGACCTTGCTATATGTAATCCGTGAGTTTAACAGCACAAGTATTATTTTGCAAAAATATATTCAAGAGTCATTTAGCGGTCGTGTTTCGCTCTCTCCTCAGCTACTCCTGAATACTTTTGGTGGGAATTCAATATCCGAAACTCCAAGCATATTGTTGCGACCAAGCCCATTTGGGTCCCATCGTCCCGCGATCCCCACAGCTCGGTCCGTGACCATAGCGCGCGTTGCATCGCCCTTTTCTACCAATCGAGCATATCAACCTCTATTCCTTCACGCTCTTCAGGAATATTTCAAAAAAAGTACGCGATTGGTAAAGCAGGGAGACGTCATAGGTGTGAAGATCAATACGGACGATATTCATCGTTCTGCCAGCTTCGAGGAAGAGGAAGAAGATTCTGGCGTGGAGGAAGGACCGGATGATCTCGACCACGAGTGAGCATCTCATGTGGCTGTGATTGTATACGAGCTTATTGATTTTATTTGTAAGATACCCAGATTACTCGGACACTGCGAACGAGCTGGTTTACTTCCTCGTTACTAACATCGAGCACAATGTGCTGACTAGCCAGTGTGGCGAAGGATCATTACAAGATATATATGTAGGCGCAACCGTAGGTGAATTAGGATGCTGGATCGATTCCTCCGTGACACGTATGATACAAACGGGTCTGGAGCACTCGAGAGTACCCGATATCAGTCAGTATCTGGGAATAAGTATGTCGTTTATCCTTGAGTATTTTGAACGTCTCTTATATTCGTAGGCAAAGGCACACCGTTTTTAGGATATGGCGGCTCATCATCGCTCCTGACCGCATCAGACAGTCCTTATCAGAAACTGTGTGATCTGGCTTCAGCAGCATTGAGCCGCCATGCTGTAGGCTATCAGCTTCAACTGTCAATCTTGTTACAAGGTGCGCCCGGTGTAGGCAAATATACTGTTGCATCATCCATTTCGCGTCGACTTGGAATGCATTTATGCGAGGTAAGCTTGTTAATTCATATTCAATTTGGCGTATTCATGTTGTCACAGATCGACTGCTACGACGTCGTTGATGACAGTGACGCAAAGACTGAAGGAACTCTCCGAGCGCGCTTCGAAACTGCCGCGTCTTGTTCCCCATCAATACTACTATTGAGACACATCGATGCGTTCTCTCAAACAACTCAAACGCTGGAGCCTGGGAAAGGTAAGCGTGCACTATAAGAACAATGATTCCAATAAACCTGGCCCGTATAGAACCAAGTATCACTAGTGCATTGCAGGAATGCATTGACAGCTTACAGGAGACCTGGAACTTGTCTGGCTTCCCTGTTATTGTTGTCGCAACTACTAATCGGCCAGAACGTGTCCCTCCTCGTATTCTCGCGTGTTTCAAACATGAGATTACTCTTGAGGTATGGACGGCTGTTTCTAGGTAGGTTTGTATGTTTATCGCTCTTACCGATCTCCGCAAAGGTACCTGGAGAAGCAGAAAGACATGAAATATTGGTGTCACTGCTGCAAGATTGTGACCTCGCTCCAGATGTCTCCATTCGCGATTTGGCGGTCGGGACAGCAGCTCTAGTTGCAAGTGATCTCGTCGACCTTGTATGCCGTTCCAAAGCAGCGTCGCTGCAGCGAGCAATGCAGGATCAGTATGTTCATTCTGCCTCTAGCTTGCAACTTCGAGATGAATACTGACTAGCGCGATTTTTTTTTTTACAGGACACGCTCAGTTGCAGATCTTTTCAACGCGGGTATCTCCATGGCGATGGCAGATTTCGAGGCTGCTCTCTCCGAGACAAGAGCATCGTACTCAGAGAGCATAGGGGCGCCAAAGATTCCATCTGTGTCATGGGACGATGTGGGAGGCCTTGCTCATGTCAAAGCAGATATATTGGATACCATCCAATTGCCTTTAGAACATCCAGAGCTGTTTGCAGACGGGCTCAAGAAGCGTTCAGGTTCGTCATGTTGTATATCATGCTCTCGTTTTGAATAACCAGATCATATGTTGTAGGCATTCTACTCTATGGACCTCCCGGCACAGGAAAGACCTTACTCGCCAAAGCGGTAGCCACCTCGTGTGCACTCAACTTCTTCTCTGTCAAGGGCCCAGAACTTCTAAACATGTACATCGGCGAGTCTGAAGCCAATGTGCGAAAGGTCTTCCAGCGCGCCAGGGATGCGCGACCATGCGTGATCTTTTTCGACGAATTGGACTCTGTCGCCCCGAAGCGAGGAAACCATGGCGACTCTGGAGGTGTCATGGATCGCATTGTCAGTCAGCTGCTAGCAGAGCTAGACGGGCTGTCAGGCGGCAAGTCTGGTGCAGATGTTTTCGTCATTGGGGCAACTAATCGACCGGATCTGTTGGACTCTGCTCTTCTTCGGCCTGGAAGGTGCCCCATAAGCTCCATGCAGATTGTAATTCCTACTGATCAATTGCTAGATTCGATCGCATGTTGTATCTTGGTGTCAGCAAGACACATGCCGCGCAGCTCAACATCCTCCAGGCGCTAACCAGAAAATTCAAGTTGCATCCTGACCTTCGCCTAGATCTCATAGCCGAGCGATGTCCCTTCCATTATACTGGTGCCGACTTTTACGCTTTGTGCGCTGATGCGTTGTTAAAAGCGATGTCTAGAAAAGCTGAAGAGCTTGAAGCTACTATTGGTATGTCCTGTGATATTTGCTGTAGCTCATTATGTCTGACATACCTTCAGCGTGGCTGAATAAAATGCAGCCGGGTCCGCAACATCCGTACCCCCTTACACCTCAGTACTACCTTGCTGTAATGGCGACGCCAGCCGAGACACAGGTCCTCGTATCGCAAGAGGATTTTCAAGCCGCACTAGATGAGCTAGTTCCTAGTGTGAGCCAAGCAGAAATGGAGCACTACGCACGCGTTCAAGAGCGTTTCTCCGGACAAACGATCAACGGACTGTAGCAAGGATTGGAGATCGAGCCCTGTTTAGTGCCCAATCTATAGCTCGTGAATAGTCATTACAACAATGCCACATTAGATTACAGGAATACATCCGGAGAGCAACCATTGAATACAAAATGTCTAATATTTAGAACCAAAGGCTAGGTCGCAACCCAATTTTGTCGAGGACTCCTTTGAGAGTCTGTGGCATATACGTCCCTATAGATGTCGAGGTTTGTAGTCTGACCGGATGTCCACGTATCTCCATGCTAGAGACGGGTCAGTACGACGAAACAGCTAAGCATGAGCGGACATACTGGTATGCTGGTGATCCCTCAATCATCACTTCTAATCTCAGAAAAGGATGCTCTGGGTTCCGCGTGTCCACCTCAAAAGAGGACCTATAGCATCCACAAGTCAGGGTAGGGCAAAGCCGAGGGGCAGCCTACTAACCACTTATGATATCCTAGTGGGAGATACTTGATCACCTTCTCCTGGGGTACCTCTTCCATAACGGTGACAACTTCCTTTGTCCCGTTTTCGGCAGTCTGCACAACTTCGCGCTTCTTTAACACCGTGCCTTCACTTCGCATATTCAGCGTACGGATGAGAGGTACATAAAACATGCTCAGTGGGCTCGTCGATACCTCGAGCACCGAGAAGCTCGGATCCTCGCCCGTGAATTCAATCGCGCCGAATTCATGCCGGTCGCCAGAAATCACGATGACGTTGGGCACGGAGTGGAGAGCACTGAGTAATGCGCTCTTCTCGTAAACGAATGCAGCCCAAGTATCGATCTGACCCTCGTGCGTCCATAGCGAAGTGAATGGCACTGAAGAAACAAGGAACTTGAAGGTCGCCGTGTTATTCACCTGCAGCGCTAATCAGCCCGCAAGCGTGGAGTATCAACAGTCAAATACTACTCACCCTTCCCAGCCAGTCATACAGAGCACCCAACTGCTTGTCGCCCAGCATAGTGCGGCTAGCCTCATCGGTGACTTCAATGACCGATCGATATCGCCGCGTGTCCATGACGAAGAATGCAGCATCGCCGTATTGGAATTCGTAGTAGTTTTGACTCTCCCCAGCAGAATCATGATTTGATTGGGCATTATAGAGCGTGTAGGCATCGTTCGCACTCGGGAATGGGGGAGCTGAGTCGTTGCCATACCCTGCGAAGTTATTGATGATCTACATTATCGCTATTGTTAGGTCTGCTGGATATGAACCTTTATGAGAAGACAACTATACCTCGTGATCATCATAAAGGTGGAATATTGCTGTTCAAGGGATAAGCCCTCGCATATATGCGGACGTGGTGTGTACTTACGTAGATGCTCGTACACTCTCCTGAAACTGTCGCTCTGATAATTTCTCCTATACAGACGGCGATATGCCTCTTTATCGTCTCCAAAATACCATGGCACATCCGCATATATGAAGTCGCCCAACATGAGCATGAACTCAGTTGGTGGCTTCGGTTTTGTTGACAAACCGGGTTCCGTCGCGACAACCGGGTGATTGTGCGTCGGTGAAGGTGATTCTAGCACTGATGAGGAAGGTATCTCTGTCGACCCGGATTCAACAGGATCAGTTGTCCCCGTTGTCGCAGAAGAAATCGTTTCTGCCAAATCAGTCTCCTGCACTGCAGGCCACAAGTAGTCTGCAAGTAAGTCAAACCCGCGGATTCTACGGCCATGAAATGGTACATATGGATAATTTGGGATCAGACAAGATGAAGCGACGAAACGGAAGTGAGAACCGCTATGTAACAGTGAGTCGGGGAACGTGTGGAATCGAATTGGAGCTGTAGGATATGGAAGTACCGTCCCGTTTGTATCCTCAAGCTGGTCTGACATTTGGCATAAATGAGAAGCAAAAACTATGAGTGATTGAGTATCTCACATTCATACTCGGTGCTAGGCCAGAGGCCAGTTAACTTGACAGTCGCAACCCAATCATTTTCCGCGGTCAAATTTGCTGCGGGTCCCTCCTTCCAAAACTCATCGCTTGTGAACTCCGGACTGGTGACCTGCCTCCATGAGATCTGGACCATGCGCGATGTAGAATCGACGCCAGGATAGCGGACCACAATCTTGGCTGCATCGGAATAGACTGCCCCCACTCGTGAAAAGACTACATCTCGAGCATCGTCAAAGTAGGGGTACAGGAGAAGGTCTGTGGCAGCTGTGAATAGCAGAGTGTTGATTATAAGGTTGACGATGCGTAAGGAACGACTCGATGTTGGCAGCGAGAATATAAGCGCGAATAGAGGGCTGCTTGAGGATTGCGGCACCTGCCACCTTATAGGCAACAAATCGTTGGTGCGAAGAGATAAGTGACATACCTCCGAGACCGGTAATACCTTGATAGGTGCTACAGTATCTGTTGAAGCTTCGGTTTCCGGCTTAAGGTCAGAGACAGTCTCCTTTTTTGGCGTCTCCGCTACGCGACTAGTTGCAGGATAGGGTTGAAGGTAGAAGAGGACTAGATAAACAGGATATAGAGTAGCTATGGAATTTCTGAACAGATGATGGGGTGCCTATTACAGCGGGTAGGTGTTCAATGTCTAAACGACAGGGAAAATGATACTCACCACCCGAAGGAAGAGATATGTGACTATCCTAAACAGTGTCGACACTAGGGCTTGTGTACGAGCCAGCTTGGCCATTGCCGCGAATGGAGAACAATTTCGGCGTTGCGTTACTTCCAACTGTTATGGTTGTCGTCGTTAGGGTCGTAGTTGGTAAGCAATCCGTGTGCGGAGGAATGCGATCCGCCCGCTGCCTTTGCCCCCACAGCGCGCGCCATGGCTACATCATGAAGTCATCGCCCAAATCAGAGGGATAGACGCGCACGCGAGCAAGCTCTTGCGCGCAACCCAAGTCCACGACAAAATAGAAGAATAGCAAAAAGTCTCCTAATTTATATATATACTACAGTGCACAGTACGTATAATCCCCGCAAATGCCAGTCAAAAAGGAACGGCCGCAGCCGCATCATTATACAGCGACCTTTGCTTTCGCCACTGTTTTCCCCTTGATCTTAATTCCGAGAGAATTCTTCATATCCGTCTTCTTCTTCTTTGCTGGTGGGGCCCCGAACGACTTGGAGGATATCAGCGCTCGAGTATCTTCTGGTAACAAGTTCTTCAGCTCAGGCTCTACCCCCTCTGCCTTCCGTTTCATCGTTACCACCGGCGCAGGCGTATCCGACTCGGCGGACCCGCCAGAGCCAGCGCTATCAACCGGGATCTTGGCGAAGACCTCGCGCACCAGTTTCTCATCCTCTTCTTCTTGCCTTCTCCGTTCTCTGTCCTCCTCTGTCTCAATCTCCTCAACCCCAATTCGCTCCATCAAATCCACAGATTGCCCCACTCGTTCATTCCGCGCATTTCGCGCACGAATGTCTTGCAATGCATCTAGGATATCCATCTCTCGCTTTGAGTTAACGGTTCTATTCTCTAGCGCCTTCATTGGGTTGTTCTCTTCTTCCTCCAGCTTCGCCAATCGATCCTCTTCCTCAACTGCTCGCTCCTCTCGCCAAGGCTCAAAGTTTCGCGAAGCGCCGTGCTCGGCAGAATAGTCAGTATTCTTTGGATCCGTCTTGAAGGTGATCTCGGCGGAACACAAGGTACTACGACGAAGTGTCAGCGACACTCAACACCGCAAGGCACTCTCTACGTACCATTTGATATAGAAACGGAAAATCTTGATGCCATAGTAGTCCTCCCCTTCTACAGTCTCTTTCCGGGCGTTGAACTTCTTCCCTTTGTAGATATATTCTCCGCAAGTGTTACATCGCCTGCATCAGCCGAATGTCAGTGTTTTAAAACATATGTCAGAGAGGGCAAACGCACATAGAGAAGGGAGCCATCAGACGAACCACTTGTTGTGAATTCTTCGGCTGCTTCCTGCGAGGAATGAGGGCCGGATCGAAATCCGGGGGGAAGTACTTGTTCAAAACTTTGAAACAAAACTGTTAAACGTAGTCAAGCACTTTATGAGCGCAGATATCTCACCTTTTCGTTCAGACATGATAGGAAGATATTAGGGTAAACGGTGCTCTGTAGCGATAAGAGATGTAAGGATGGGACAAGATGTCCGAGTCCGCAAGTAGAGTGAGTAAGCCACAAGATGAGTTTGTTTCGGCTTGGTCCCGCGTCCAAAAGCCTTAGATTCAAACAACCGCTACGAAAAAGCGCTCGTGCACTAATGTCTCTCCAATTCTGGAAACCCGGCACAGTCGGGCCAGGCAGCTCTCTCGACCGCGCGACAGAAACTGAGGAAAATGTTGTCCCATCAGCACCTATATCGTCTTCACTATCTATCTCAGCAGCGCGGGAACGTCTTCCTATATTCAAACACAGTTTGTACCAGGTCTTGCGGAGCCGGTGTACTGTTGTTGATGTGTTTTCCAGGAGAGAAACTTTTATACTGTGTTGAGAAGTATGGGGTTGTAATTGTAGTGGGTCAAACTGGCTGTGGAAAGACGACTCGTCAGTGAGCTTGATATTTTCTCTAATTCTCTACTTACCGGCCTTTAGAACTTCCTCAATACCTACACGAGGCAGGCTGGTCCGCAGATGGAAACATAGTAGCGTGTACCCAGCCTAGACGTGTTGCAGCTACGTCGGTCGCCGGACGCGTCGCATCAGAGGTCGGCTCAATCCTAGGAGATGAGGTGAGTCTTTCACGCCCATGGACTCTGCAATCTCGTAAATGTTCCTCAGGTCGGCTACACCATCCGCTTTGAAGACGTTAGCGATAAGGAACGCACCCGAATACTCTATATGACGGATGGAATGCTCTTCCGCGAGACGTTGATCGACCCGCTGCTTAGCCGCTATAGCGTCATTATGGTTCGTGCTGTCGTCGTGCGCTTCACCCCCCGAGCTTATCCTAATGCATAGCATATAAGATAGATGAAGCGCACGAACGGAGCATCTATACGGATCTGATGCTTGGTATCCTGAAAAAGTAGGCAAGGAGCGGGGCTTTCATTTCCTGCTGTCTGAAACCCCTTCTGTAGGATCCGCCGCAAGCGGCCGTCCCTGCGACTAATCGTGTCTTCTGCAACGCTCGATGCAACGTCATTTCTGGACTACTTCACCGCAGGCAACTCGAGTGATGAAGCCACTATCGTTAGCTTGGAGGGACGTATGTATCCGGTCCAGTTGGCGTACCTGAAGGAGCCTGCACCAGATTATGTGCGCAAAGCCGCAGAAGTCGTATGGAATATCCATTTACAGGTAATTTAACGCGTTTTCGATTCGTGCCTGTGCTCATCAATCCACAGCAAGGTAGCGGTGACATCCTGGTCTTCCTCACAGGACGAGATGAGATAGAGCAATGTCTGGAAGATTTATCAGAAATGCTGCCGACGTGAGCGTGTTTCCTTCAGAGTCCGATTTCATCCCTGACGGCGCATGTAGCCTTCCACGCAATGCAATGCGTCTGAAGGTACTGGCATTGCACGCAGGTCTCACCACTGACGAACAGCTCGCGGTTTTCGAACCAGCTGAGCGTGGTACTCGCAAAGTCATCGTCTCTACTAACATTGCCGAGGTACGATAGCTTCACATTCCACTAGTGTATATATTCATCCAATATCATACAGGCTAGTGTTACTATCGATGGGATTAAATTCGTCATCGATTCTGGATTTGTCAAGGCATGTATATGACGATCATGCAGTCAATTCTAACCCTCACACGATGGTTAGATCCGCACCTATAATCCTTCTACCTCCCTATCCTCCCTCGTTACCATCCCCGTCTCCCAGGCATCCTCCACACAGCGCGCCGGCCGTGCAGGACGTACTTCTTCTGGCATCTGCTACCGGCTCTTCCCCGAAAGCGCATACACGAGACTCCCTTTGACGACTCCGCCCGAGATCACCCGCACGGATCTCACCACGCCCATTCTACAGCTCAAGTCGCTTGGGATTGACGACCTCATGAAGTTTGAGTGGGTCTCCGCGCCTCCGGCTGAGAGTGTTTTGCGCGCGCTCGAGGGGCTCTACGCTGCGGGGATGATAGGTGAGGATGGGCGGCTGACCCCTACAGGTGAGAAGGTTGCCGAATGTCCGGTGGAGGTAAATATTGCGCGGATGGTGTGTTGTCTGTCACTTCACTACGACGTGGCTAACTCGCCTTCACTGCTAGCTGTTCAGTTCCAAGGAGCACCAGTGTGGCGAAGAAATTTTGACAATTGCAGCCATGACGGCTATCCAAGTGCGTCGTGGTCGTGGTCATAGGATCACCGTCGCTCACATATTGCAGGACGTGTTTGTCATCCCGGATGGTGCGGCTGGTGCGCTGGCTGAATTGGAGCGCCGAAAGTTCACGGCAGAAGAAGGGGTAAGTAACATGAGCCTTCAATTGTCTGTCGTACACTGACCCTTCTCGTGCTATAGGATCACCTAACACTGCTGAATGGTGCGAACACCGCGTCCCCCAGTGATCACCTGTTCTGATGCTTCTTCAGCTTACAATGCGTTTACTCGCTACGGCAAGTCTTCCTCGTGGTGCAAATCGCATGCGCTGTCCTTCCGCGCCATGTCTCGCGCTATTTCCATCAGGGCACAGTTGAAGAAATACATGCAACGGTTCAATCTTCCTCTGGAAAGCTGCCAGGGGGATGCGAAGAGGTTGCGAAAATGCCTAGTCAGCGGATACTGGCGAAATGGCGCGCGGTGGGTGGCAGACGGAACCTATCGATCTGTACGAGGAGATACAGTACGTCAACGCTGCAACATTCGCATCTACAAAGCTTATTATGCTTTTGCCAGACGCTACACGTGCATCCCAACTCGGTTCTCTTCACGAGGAAGCCGCGGTCAGGGTGGGTGATTTTCCATGAGATGGAAGAGACTAAAAAGACTCAGTAAGCCTTTTTCCTATTTGAACCATGTCGGATGCTGATGGTGATCCTCAAAGGATACGAGTACTTACAGAGATTGAATCAGACTGGTATGTCATGGTATTCTGTCACTCCGAATCACGACTGACCTTGCACAGGCTGTTGGAACACGGGCACAAGTACTATGACAAGCGGACAGGTGCATCCGTATCTCAGTAGGGCCATATTGTATTATAGTGTTACGTGTAGTCTTGAATGAACTTGCCTTGCTTTCGTCTCATTTTGTCGAACGCCCAATCCTACACCTTCCATAAGGGGCAATCGGAGCGTCCTCGCGTCCTCGCGCTGGCCGTGGCCGCGCCTGCAGCAGCCACATTCACCATCCACCTCCCGCCTACTGCCAGCACCAATGGGTGCGGGTCAATCCACGCCCCATGCCGACGAGAAGGTCTTCTCTTCAGAGATCCCCATCCAGGTGCGCACTCCCCCCCTCGCCTCCGCGCGCTTGCTGCTCACCTCCCGCAGTTCTCGCAAGATGTCGTGAACCAGCTGTCCGACCACACGGCCTCGCCCGACCCGCCGCCAGAGCGGCAGTCGTCCATCGACGCGCACGTCCGCTCGCGCATCCAGGCGGAGCTCGCGCGGCTGCGTGAGGAAGAGGCACAGGTGAAGACGGAGATCGAGCGTGCGCTCGAGAAGGAGAACCTCGACCGCGAGCGTGAGATGGCCGGCGCGGCGAGTACGGAGGAGGGTGAAGAGGGCATCGCTGGCAGCGTGAAGAGTAGTGCGGCGCTGATGGGCGACCTGGAGGAGGTGAGGAAGAAGGTGGAGCGATTCCATTCGAGGCATGAGCTGGAAGGCTACGCCGCGGTGCAAGCGAAGGGAGAGGCGGTCGTCTCGTGTTACAAGTACGTTGAACGGTCTCTGATACACGGTATCCTGCTGAGTGGCCTTTGCAGAAACCATGCATCGACACCACTAGACTGCTGGCGAGAAGTCAGCGAATTCAAGACATCCGTTGCACAAGTAGAGCAGGTGTGTCTCCCTCCCACTTGTGTGACCTACATGCAAGCTAACGAAACCAAAGCAATATGTTCATTCACTACGATAGTAATTCGTCGTCATACAGTTGAGTCGGTATCACTACAGCAGTGCATGAGTACAACAGATCAGAACTACGTCGTGCCACGACCATTAGTGCTACTACATCAAACTCCAGGATACAAGTGTCAAAAACGTGATAAGTCATCAGTAGTCCAAGCAATGCTAAATGTCCAAAACGAAGGTACGTCATCATCAATAGCCGCATAATAATTTCGGTGTGCAGAGGGGCACCTTCCGGGGTTCACGCGGACTGTTTTGGACCTGGTCCCTCTTCGCCACCGTACGCATAGCCGACAGGTTCGCTGGGCATCTCATCACCCTGTGAGTACGTCGACACCTCGCTCATTTGCGAGAGGCGATTTCGCTCTAGATCGTTGTTCGCCCTGTGGCGATTGGCCGACAGCGGAAGATAGTTGCCCAGCCACGAGCGGCGGGGGTCCAGATGGCCCAGCGCGGCCATGACCAAACTCGTCGAGACACGCGTTTGACGCTCCTCGCCGCTCTCCGCGGAGTAGGCCGAGATGGAACTCGCAGCAGAACGTTTGTGTGCCAGAGACCGCTTGACGAACGGCTGAACGGACGGAGAGGGAGCGGGGTCGACAGGCGACCGCGGCTCTGAATGAGGCGATCCGTGAAGCAGTGGGGCTTGTTCATTTCGCGGGCTACCCTGGGCGAGGGGACTTGGGCGCGCTGGCCTGTATGGTGGTAAGGAACCGCTCTGAAGGGGCGGAACGTCCCCTGGTAGATAAATGAATAGATCATCTCGCTAGTATCGGAGAAGACCACATACGAGAGAGAGACAGTTTTGGTTCGTCCGTATAGGCCTTCAAGGTAGTCTGTGTGGACGAGGAGGTGCTCGGGACAAACGTGACCCTCCTCGCATTGCGAGACGAAGCAGATGAGGGGGGGAGATGCGTGTACGACGCGGACGCCGCATTCCGACGGGTGTTTTCCTTGACCTGCATGTTTGCGAGCTGCGCAAGACCACAAGTGAGCAACAAACGACCAGCATGTCGAGGCAGATCGCGCACCGCCTCTTTGCGATCCCTGTCGCGCTGCCGCTTGATGCAACGACCCCACCATGTCCATATGACGACTATAGCGACGGCGAGGAAGACGCCGCCGGCTGTCCCCCCCGCGATCGCGGCTACTGGGACAGAGGATTTTGAAGATGAGCCGGCGGCGGTGGAGCCTGTCGGGAGAGGAGTGCCCGAGTATATGGTGGTGGTGATGATCCTAGGAGAGGAGCTGAACGAGGTGGCGTAGGACACAGCGCCCTGCGAGGACTGGGTTCCATTCGACGCGGGTGCGCTCATCCGAGTCCGAGGCGACGATGGCAGTATGCTACAAGCGAGGAATACTTACGGCGGGGGGGGGGCAACAGAGAGGAGTCCGGAATCCGGAGTATCGATGCTAGGCTGAGACAGCCTCGTGCTCTCTCACTCACACCCAGACTGACAACCGTGCCGGAAGCTGTGTTGTAGCCCAACGGACCACACTGCATACAGAGTATTGCCAGCCAAATAATAATACTACAAGCACAAGTACTATCCGTACATCAATCGCACACCCCGGTTTCGTCATGCAGCCGCAGCAACAGCCTCGACGTTCCCATCGTCGGCGTCCCCCAGCTCCGCCAGGGCAGCCTCGTTCATTGCCTCCGCCTCCACCATGACCTTCTCCTCCAGTGCGGCAACCCGCGCCTGCGACTCTCTCCGCTCTGTCTCAAGCTCGGCATAGCGCTCCTGCAGCATTCGCTCACGCCGCTCAAGCTTTTCTACCTCCTCCCCTAGCGCCGAGACCCGCCCCGGACCAGTGGCGGACTCGTTCGTCCGCAGCCGCACAAAGCTCTCGTACTCGAGTCTCACCTTCATCATCTCCTCGAATGCGCCCGTGACTCGCTCCGCGAGTGCCTTCGATCGGGCCTGATATCCTCCGAGTGTGACGGTAAGCTTCTTCTCCGACTTAGCTGCCTTACTGGCCTCCTTCGCCATATCTTGTCGGCAGTCATCGAGCAGCGCGCTCAGCCCGGCCATTCGCTGCTCTTCAGACAGCGTCTCCGGGCTGACCCAGGTCTTCGAGGCAGCATCGTATGCTAATTGTTGCCGCACATGCACCCACGACGCCGAATCGTCCGCCTCGTCCAGGCCCGATAACGCCGCAATCCCCTGCTTCATCGTCTCCTCACCTGCCCCAGGATAGCCTAGAGTGATCGCAAGCTCCTCGTGAATTGCCAACTTGGCCTGGTCCACTGAGTCGTCCGGTGGCATCTGGTACGAAGACAGTGTGCTGCCAGGATGGACTGTCCCGGGGATAGGATGGGCTATGGTATCATGCACGAGGAGACTTGCCAGCTCCGCATGCACGAGCTTCTCCGCTGCTGCAAATTCCGACGGCTCTTCGTTGAGCGAGAGGTCCTGCAGTAAGTGTTCGATCTGAACTCGGGCTGGTCGAGGAAGTCCCCGCTGAACAACCTGCGACCTCCGGGCAAGAGCCCTTCGCTCTTCCTCTTCCCGCTGGCGCCTCATCCTCGCGTCGCGATCACCCGCATCTTCCTCCTGAGGCTTCGAGCCTTCCGTCGCCTCTTCTTCTTCCTCTTCCGGAACAAGTAGTTCGAAGTTATTTTCTGGTTTCGGTAACCTCATGAATCCCGCCTTGAGCGCGTGCTTCGCGGACATCATGCGAAGCCGCTCTTCGCGAGGAGTATCGCCAACAGAGAATTGATCGTTGGGGTTAATACTTAATGTATCTCGCGTTGCCTGAATGTCTCGAGGCGTTGCAGAAGAGTCCGCCCCTCCCACACGTGAAGGGGTCGCCAGGGGATTGGGTGTGAATGCGACCTGATGCCGTGGCGTTGCGCCTCCAAAACCGGTACCTCCAGCGGGGTCAGCATGCAATGGAGTATTCTCGTCCCCGAGTAGTGGGGTCTGTGCCATGGTCATGTTGCGTAGGTTGCGAGCCTCAGACAAAACATTGTCGTCTGCGAGAGTTCGTATAATTAGCGCGAAGAATTACTTGATCTGTCAAACGAAACGTACGTTGAGGTGCAGCGCGAGGTGTTCGTGCCATACGCGCCCTCTCGAGCCCGTCGTAATCGCTAAGCAACTGCGTACTTGCATCGATCCCGCCTGCGACCAACGCCTTCGCGTTCTCCCCTGCCCTACCAATTTTAACGATGTCTTCCAACTCGGCCTCTCCAACTTGGGCTGCAGGTAACGCGAGCTTCCGCCGTCGCCCGATTGATTCTGCGTCCTTCAACTTCTGAATCTGGGCGTCACGCGCAGCAACGAACTTCGTCTGATGCGGCCCATCTCCACCCTCCTTGCCGTTCGTTTTCCGCTGTCGCTTTCTTCGTTCAGCTTCCTCTTCATCAGGTTTGCGCTTGTTCTCCAGCCTGCGAAGACTTTGTCCAACGGGTGCAGTCGTAGCGCGGGCTTGCTCGTCAGCGGTGTCGTAAAACCCTGGCGCAGGTTTCTTCTCGAACGGAATATCTGCATTATACTATTTGGACACTATTTAGCAACGACACAGCATCATAAAACGAGCTTCAGCTTACGTCCATGCCTTTCTTCTTTGACTTATGGCGCATACTATATTATGATTGAGATTCCGGTATCCAAAAGGGAATTTCCAGAGCACTTACATGATACCGGCTGCCTTCAGCTCTCGTTTCTTTTGCAGCACAGCCAATCGTCTCGCCTCTTCCAGCTGACGCTCTCGAGCCTTCCTCTTCGCCTTCTTGCCCTGCGTGTTCGCTAGACGAGCGCGCGCCTCGGACAGCATCTCCTTCTCTATAGCAAGACTGTAAGCCTACATTGAAAACTCATACAACGTCGAGGCACGCACCATCCTCGTCCATGTCAATGGGATCCGGACGCGCAGGCTTGGTCTCAGGGTCTGGGTCAATCTCGCCAGGTCGTAGTCTCCGAACGTCGTCAGCACTAGGACCCGCTTCATCACCCGGACCCGCCAATCCCAGCTCTTCGTTTTCCTTGGCCTCCGCTTCATCCAGAAGCTTTTGATATCGCTCGAGACACTGCGTTGCTGTTCGGCCGACGATGGGAGCTATGGTTCTCCATTGCGTTGGCATAAGTTTTGCCAGGTGCAATAACTTCTCGTCCTCCGTCTTCGGTACAGATTCAATCACATAATTCCTACGGAGTTAATCTCAAAGTCGTACCTTGGACCACTCCGTCTTCTTGATTGACGGATCCAGCCACTCGTACCATCGCGCTTTGCATTGCTTCGGTGTCTTGCGCACCAAGAGTGACGAAATACGTGCCCTTGACGAAGAATTCACGGGTTTGATATAGAAATGAAGAAACGCTGTCGACTTACCATTGATTTTTGCCATACTTTGCAATAGCGGCCTTTAGAACTTCATCCTCCGTGTTCTGTAGAGCATGAATTAGCAGTACTTACACAGGTGCATGGATACTGGCATACCTTCCAAACACCACCCTTTATGATGATGCGGACCATGTAAGTGCAACCAGAGATGACAGTGCAATGTACGTCGTGCTCGAGCTCGTCGAAGGAGCTTTCAATTGGCGCCGGGATAGCAAGCGAGCGTGTTCAAGCGAGTGCTTACATAAGATTTATATCACGTGCGGAGATCTGTTATGTGTCGCGGCCAGCCTCTTGCATTATCACGATCCTTTCATAAGTTGTAGCAAGCTCACTGGAAGTCTGGCTATGATACTGAAGCTATGCGATTTAGGAAAATTTTCCCAGGATAAAGAATTTTAGTGTTGATTTCCTCGGTCATAGCACACTGAGTTTCTGCAAATCACAGTGGAGTATGAGTTTTTCTTGGCAGGTTCAAATACCACGAGTCGGCATCCCTGGAGAGGATTTGCATGTGTGATGTCCCTTTGAAGCTAACGATTATCAGTCAAGTTGACTTGACTCTCTTAGCAATTGGGGTTGCGAAAAAATCGATCAGGATCAAGCACTTCCAGCAGCTGTTCGTATTGCGGCTTCAACTGACGTTGTGATCCTGGTCGCAGGATTGAACACTGATTGGGAGTATGAGGGGTTTGAGAGGGAAACGTTGTACTTGCCTGGTCGCACGAATAAGCTTATTGCGCGTGTGGCAAAGGTGAACACAAATACAATCGTTTGTATTCAAGCTGTACAGTGTAAAGGATGCTGGCCGTTGCTCTGGTGTTGTAAACGCTAAATGACCTTCTGTGAGGCAGGGCTCTGCAGTGTCGATGCCGTGGGTTGACGACGTCAGTGGAGTAATACAAGCATGGCATCTGGGAAATGAGGTCGGGAATGCGCTTGCAGACATCATGTTTGGGAATGTAAACCCAAATGGTCGCCTTCCTCTCACTTTGCCTGCGCGCAAGCAAGACATTCCGGCGTATCCCAATATGCGATGTGAACACGGCAAGATTCATTATCGAGAAGATCTTTTTGTTGGGTACAAGTACTATCAGGCGAGACGCCCAGCGCCATTGTTTCCCTTTGGGTGGGTGCTATGTGCCTATTGCACTCAGACGTTAATAACCTGACCATCTTTTTTCTTCAATGCACTAGATTTGGCTTGTCGCACACGATATTCACTTACTCAAACTTTCAAATCGTCGGACCCACCTCCTATGATGCGTCCCTTGGTGTTACCGTCTCCGTAATCATTGCGAGCGACGGTCAAATGGTTGGGTCTGCGGTCAAGTGTATGTCGCCGTACCTGAGACCGACCTCACGACACCTCGACTGCAGCTACGTGGGTTTACGAAAAGTTCATAACATTTTGTCTGGTAATTCTAAGGGGAACTTCATTTGGACAAATACTCCGTCTCCTTCTGGGATCCTACAGAACAGACTTGGGTCGCAAAGGCCGGGATCTATGAAATACCAGTAGGTAGAAACAGTGCCGATTTGATCTGTGTGGTACGTTCGAGCTCAAGGAAAGTTTTGTGTGGAGTGGCTTGTAAATCGCATGGAATGTAATGCGTAACAACAAGGAATGTGTCGCGTCTTCGTTCGAACCGTTGAAAAGCGTTTATCGTCAAAACTACAATTCAAAGGTGACGTCAAAAACTGATCGAATTAATACAAACGTGTAACCTTAAGAACAAGATTTTCCCCTTAAGATTCCACTCCTACACTACTCCCTGAAGAATACTAATAATACTAGTATTTCTGTTTTATCAAGCACCAGGATCATTAGTCATGCAAAATCTCATGACTGGCCTGCAAACAGCCCTTCAACGGCAGAATTAGCCCTGGGGGTATCATCCCTCCCATCTCGTCTGTTGCAATAATTCCCATCAAATGATTCACTCAAATTTATGTTCATCATACCTCTGGATTTGCCTTGAATTCTTCGTATAGTTTGCGATTGAAAAAACTGATTTCGGTCTCGTTTTCTTTGCGTAGAGGAAGTCGGGGTCAGAGATAGAGCTACAGAGAGTGCGCCAGGGAGATACTGACCAAAGCCGTAATCGGACAGGATTTTGGTGTCATCATCAAGTATCCAGTCGTCGTGATCCAGATTGATGATTAAGTTTGTCGTCTAAGGGAAGCCGTGAATTCTAGCACTAATAGGGTATCAAACATTATACTTTGGCACCATGAGCTTTCGTGTACAGCTTGAGGGTATCTGAGAGTCGATCAGCTTTGTCGTATCTGTATTTGAGGATGGCCTCACCGATAGTTGCATTGCGGTAGGGCTTCCAACCGGGCTGGGTCTGTACAGCTAAAACGCACCGCTCACAGGGAGAGGGGTAGATGGGATGAGCAATTGCTTGGTACCTTGGCGTGCTATCTCTTTAAGCTGGCCTACTGTTGTCTGTTCGAGATTTACGTTGTGGAGAACGAGACTACGCTCGGTGCGAAATTCGAAAGACTTGATAATGCGGATGGTAAGTGTCGCGGCGGTTTTTGGTATGGCAAGATTAGTGGGAACGTCCGAGATTTCATCCGTGCGCGTTGAAGACATTGTCACTTATGCGTAGTGAAAATCGAGACGAGGTGGAAGGACCGCAGCGTAAAGAGGGACTCAGCAAGAATGGGTTCGAGCCAATCGCCGCTTCGGCCCGGAGAGCGGAGCGCCCGAGGCTGATTCAATCTAGAGGGACTCAACTTCGAGTTCAGATGTCAAGTCTAACTCTGACCATGAGTGAGCGATACCGACCACGTTCAATGCACATTCTGACTCAAGATTGTCTCAAACCTTTCAGACGCCGCTTGCATGGGCTGGGCTTCCCCGCAGTGATCGTGGATCTAGAAGGTAAATACTCATTTGGTTCGCCGCTGCACCGCGATCCGCAACATTAGCATCCATGTATCACACTCCACCACCACAAGACGCGTGTGGATGTTCGCATTTACGCTCGACGCCGTTGACCGCAGCTCCAGGCTGTACACATGACATGAGTAAGTCTTCCTCATCGTCTCCGTGAGCGAACGGGAGGTCTTTACATCTGACCTTTCAGCCGAGGTTTTCCCGCGCTATGGCTTTCGATGTGCAATATAAGAGAACGGCGACCTTTCCAAAAGCCTGTTCTGAGTGTGAATCACCTACCAGAGATCAGCCATGCCCACCTCGCGCTCGTTTCTCAGTGCCTCCATCCCCGAGCTCGTGAACAAGCTATCTACTGAGGAAAAGATTGCTCTACTCGGTGCTCCCAATTGGTGGAATACCAATGCGGTGGAACGCCTTGATATACCCGCTATCCGAATGAGCGATGGCCCGAATGCGAGTTCAGATCTCTTCGTTCTCTCGTCGCTTCAATTCTAACAGTTGTACAGGGCGTTAGAGGATCATCACATTTCGTTTCGACACCCGCTCAGTGCCTTCCTGTACGCCCTGTGATCTCAGCTTAGTTTTGCACCTCTCATATCTCTCAGTGTGCTACTTCAATGGCGTCAACTTTTGACGTAGATTTGATACGTCAAGTGGGTGTATTCCTCGCCGAAGAAACTAAAATCAAGTCCTCCGTGATCCTGCTTGCCCCAACATGCAACATTCAGCGGAACCCTCTAGGCGGGCGTGCATTTGAGTCATTTTCAGAAGATCCTCATCTCTCTGGTATGTACAAGTAGTGTCTATAGTCAAATCGACTCCTTAGAATGAACAAGGCACACTCGCCGGCGCCTATGTCGAGGGTCTCCAATCTCAAGGGATCGCTTCTACAATCAAACATTTTGTCGCCAACGATCAAGAGCACGAGCGCACGGCGGCCGAATCAGTCATCTCAGACCGTGCTCTACGCGAGGTTTATCTATATCCGTACGTTCAGTTTCTCGCTTTCTTTTACAGTGCTGATTTCCAAAGCTAGATTCATGTTGGCTCAGAAGATGGCACAGCCTTGGGCGTTCATGACTTCGTCAGTTCCTATTATATCTTTTTTTTTTTTCATATTCATTTTGCATTCACACGTCCGTGGGTGTAGGTATGGACGTATTGGAGGAGTTCATTGCTCTGAAAATACTGAGCTCCTGCAAGGAATCCTCAGAGAAGAGTGGGGATTTGATGGTATCGTAATGAGCGACTGGTATGTTAAAGAGCCATATCCTTCTACTGATTGATCGGTGAATGTTCGTTCCAGGTATGGAACCTATAGCGTCGACCTTGGAGTCAATGCAGGCCTGGACCTCGAGATGCCTGGACCTCCGCGATGGCGCACATCGCTTCTCATGACGCATATGTTATCATCCCAAAAGATTTTACCGTCCATGCTCGATAAACGAGTGGGCACGATGTTGGAATTTATTCAACGCCAAGCGCGCCGGAACCCAGAAATCGTCTATGGAGATGGCATAGAGCGAACTAAAGATACTAAGGAAGGGCGTGAATTTTGCCGAAAGCTTGCTGGTGCGGGGACGGTCGTGCTAAGGAACGAGAAGAAAATTTTGCCCATCAAGGCAGGGAACGTCAAAAAGGTGGCTTTGATCGGTCCGAACATGAAAGGGCGCGTAATTTCGGGTGGTGGTTCTGCTGCCCTCAAGCCAAGCTATGTTATTTCACCATATGAAGGATTAGTTTCCAATGCGCCTTCGGGCCTCGAATTTCATTATGAAGTTGGATGCTATTGTGAGCGGGTCCTGCTCTCGAGATTCTGCATACATCGACTGACGATTTGTTTTCGTTCGCTAATGGTAATATCTGGCAGCACATAAATACTTACCCACGCTTGAGAGACACCTCACGACTAGCACCGGAGAGTCGGGTTGGACTTGCACATTCTACAATGCAGATACGCAAGGCAATCCGACGGGAAATGCCGTCGCGGATTTCCGCTTGACTGACACGCGAATTAGGCTAAACGACTTCCTCCCAGAGGGGTTAGCATCGACATGGACGATTAAGTTGCAAGGCTTTTTAACGGTTGACAGCACAGCAACATATCAGCTTGGTCTTACCGTCGCGGGTCGAGCAAGACTGTTCATAGACGGCGAGCTTATCGTCGATAACTGGACGAAGCAGAAGCCTGGTGAATTCTACTACGGGTTTGTGATACTTAAACAGCTACACTTGTCACATGTACTGAGTTATATGATAGCCAAGGCACGGTGGAAGAGATTGGCGATGTTGAATTGACTGCGGGGAAAGCCATGAGCATTTTGGTTGAATATACTAATACGAGTCCTCCGGATGGTCCAGAAGCTGATAGGTCTCAACCTGCACTCATGCGGGGATTGGTACGTAGAATGATGTGTTTCCGTGCGTATCTTGCGCTGAACTTGATTTTTCATTAGCGTTTGGGAGGATGCGAGAAAATTGATCCCGACCAGGCGATGCAGGCCGCAGTCGATTTGGCGACTTCATCAGATGTTGTTATTTTGGTCGCAGGATTGTCACCAGACTGGGAGAGTGAAGGGTTTGATAGGCAGACACTCGATATGCCGGGGCGCACGAACGAATTGATCTCACGGGTCGCTCGGGCCAATCCGAACACGGTCGTCTGTGTGCAGGCGGTAAGCATTGGTATCGTCGATCATTGAAATAGGCGCTGAATAACTTGAAACAATGGCTGCACAGGGCTCTGCGGTATCGATGCCTTGGGTCAATGACGTCAACGGGATTATTCAGGCTTGGTACCTTGGAAATGAAGTAGGCAATGCACTTGCAGATATCGTCTACGGATACGTGAATCCTAGCGGCCGGCTTTCGCTTACGCTCCCGGTGCGAAAGGAAGACATCCCTGCATATCTGAACATGCGCAGCGAGCGGGGGAAGATACATTATCGGGAAGATTTATTTGTAGGATACAAATATTACCAGGCAAGAGGTGTCGCACCGCTGTTTCCCTTCGGGTATGGGCATCTCATCCTGGATCAAGTACCTTCCGCTAATGTGTTATGTTTCTCAGCTTTGGCCTGTCGTATACAACGTTCAGCTTCTCGAATCTCGCGATCAGAGGTCCCCAGTCTCATGACACCTCCTTTGGCCTCGACGTCTCTGTGACAGTCACCAATGATGGTCCGCTTGACGGCTCCGAAGTGGTTCAGGTCTATGTCGCAGCACCCGAGACAGATGTTACGACGCCTAGACTGCAGTTACGCGGATTCACCAAAGTTCATAATATCGTTTCTGGTAGATCTCAGCAGGCGACAATCCGCCTGGATAAGTATGCTGTGTCCTTCTGGGACCCTGCTGAACGAGCTTGGAGCGCGCGAGCTGGGGTGTATGAAGTGCTTGTAGGGAAGAACAGCGCAGATATTTTACTTCGCGACACTTTCGAGCTCAATCAAAGCTTCGTGTGGAATGGTTTGTAAGCGTAGCTGTATTATTAGGCTTGGAAATATCGATGCTTCAAGCTTGTTCTTCATCCTCGTTCATGCTCCGAGTGTCACGTCATGGTATATATGTCACAGTGCAATTATTAGGTCACACACTGCTATGCGCTGTCACGCGGCATGGTTACCTAGATTGGACTGGGTATCTTGGGCTGTACAACTTGACGAGACGGAACCTTACGAGTCGACTTCTGGCCAATGGCCGAAAACATTTACAGCAGGGGAACTAGAGTATGGTTCGCCGACAAGGAGCAAGGCTGGATTTCTGCGGAGGTCGCTTCCGTCTCGCGAAGTCCCGATGACGCGGTCAAGCTGGTGTTCATAGACGAACGGGGCAAAGTGAGCTTTTCTGTAGTCTCTGGCAGATCGTTGCTTGAATCGTAGAATGTAGGAAATTGTTATCGATACCACGGTTCAAGACATCAAGAATGGGAAGGAAGGCCTACCTCCGTTGCGAAATCCTCCGCTGCTAGAAACCGCCGATGATTTAGCCACTCTATCTCATCTTAATGAACCGTCTGGTATGTCATAAGCTTGTAAGGATCATACACGTTTGTATCAACTGTTCCTAAAATACAGTCCTGCATACCATACGCAATCGTTATGCGCAACACAGCATCTACACTTACAGTGGCATTGTCTTAATTGCAATGAATCCATTTCAACGCGTCACACTGTATGGACCTGAAATCATCCAGGCGTACAATGGCCGGCGGAGAGGGGAATTAGAGCCGCATCTGTTTGCTATAGCTGAAGATGCTTATACCGCGATGAGCAGAGATGGTACAGGCCAGACGATTATTGTTTCTGGAGAGAGGTACGTTTCTATGATGACTGTAAACCGCATTCCAAGAACTCATTTCTTGAAGTGGTGCAGGAAAAACGGAGTCTGTAAGTCACAGCTAAAGCGCATATACGGTACCGAAGGTAAATTGGCATGATGTCTAGGCAAAGTTTATCATGCGTTATCTGGCTTCCGTGAATCCTCCCAACTCAAAGGGTAGAAGCAAAACGAAAGCATCGCTTGATGATTCCAGCGAGGTTGAACGTCAGATCCTCGCTACTAACCCGGTTTTGGAGGCATTTGGAAATGCGAAGACCACACGAAACGACAACTCCTCCCGATTTGGTAAATATATTCAGGTCAGAGGAGGCACTATACGTATGTACTTCGAAGTCTCATTATCCTTTATCCCCAGATCCTTTTCGACGGCAATCAGGAGATTGTTGGTGCTCGAATAAGAACATATCTGCTGGAGCGCTCTCGAGTTGTCTTTCAACCCCTCACCGAGCGCAATTATCATATTTTCTATCAGCTTTGTGCGGGTGCGCCTTTGAAGGAAAGGAAAGATCTTGGGCTAGATACAGACATCACCAAATTCCAATACCTCAATCAAGGCGGTCCGCAGTCCACACCCATTGCTGGCGTAGATGATGCTGAGGAATTCCGGCAGACTCAAACGGCACTATCGACGATAGGCATCAGTGTCGAGAAGCAGTGGGCGGTTTTCAAGTTGTTGTCGGCATTACTTCACCTTGGAAACATTAAGATCTCCCAGACTCGTTCCGACGCCATCATCGATGATACGGATCCTGCCCTACAGATGTCAACAAGATTCTTAGGTGTTACACTCGCTGACTTCAAGAAATGGACCGTCAAGAAGCAGATTACTACGCGTTCCGAAAAAATTGTTACTGCCCTCAATGCTGCGCAGGCCACAGTAGTGAGAGATAGTGTGGCTAAATTCGTTTATGCATGTCTATTTGAATGGCTCGTCGCCATCGTCAATGAGAGTCTTGCTGGTGAGGGTGGAGAAGCGGCCAACCGTGCAGAGATGTTCATTGGAGTCTTGGACATTTACGGATTTGAACATTTTAAGAAGGTACGTCTAGGGATATTGGTATCCTTGGTGTGCGGCATAGTTCCTAACTTTAGCATAGAATTCTTTCGAGCAATTTAGTATCAATTATGCAAACGAGAAACTACAGCAAGAGGTATGCGGTTGAAACTATCTAAGAATATTCTCTAACTCTGTTGCAGTTCAACGCTCATGTTTTCAAATTGGAGCAAGAAGAATACGTTCGCGAGAAGATCAATTGGACGTTCATCGATTTTTCTGACAATCAACCTTGCATAGACGTTATCGAGGGAAAGCTTGGAGTAATGGCCCTCTTGGATGAAGAATCGCGGCTTCCCTCCGGTACCGATACCTCCTTTCTTCAAAAGTTGCACACCCAGCTGGGAAAGCCCGAAAACAGCAAAGTGTTCAAGAGACCGCGATTTGGTAATTCGGCGTTCACTATAGCGCACTACGCTTTGGACGTGACATACGAAGTTGAGGGATTTCTGGAGAAGAACAGGGATACTGTACCGGACGAGCACATGGCCCTTCTCATGTCAACGAAAAACTTGTTCCTGAAGGAGGTGCTCGACGCCGCCTTCGCTGCCACTAAAGCTCCCGATGCCGCGTCGCCAGGATCTCCAACGTTCTCGGACACTGGCAGTGGCGGCTCACGACGCTCATCCGTCATTCCTGATCCCGGTCGTCAATCTTTAATTTCATCTGCTGTATCGTCTTCTCTTGGGTCAAAACGACCCGGTGGTATAGCGCGAAAACCTACTCAAGCATCAATATTCAAAGCATCCTTGGTAAACCTAATGGATACCCTAAACGTCACGAATGTCCACTACATACGATGTATCAAGCCGAATGAACAGAAGAAGGCATGGGAATTCACGCCCCAGCAGGTTCTGGGCCAGTTGCGCGCGTGTGGTGTTTTAGAAACTATACGCATCAGTTGCGCTGGGTATCCTTCTCGCTGGATATACGAAGAATTTGCAGAGAGGTATGCCACTGTTCAAAGGCAGGGGGTCATGCCTATTGATTTGAGTGATTTAGGTACTACATGCTAGTCCACTCTTCCGAGTGGGGGCCCATGATCCAGAATTTGGAGCTCAAGCCCCTCTGCTCTCTTATTCTGCAGAGGACTATCAATGACACGGATAAATACCAGCCAGGTTTGACGAAGATATTTTTCCGTGCGGGCATGTTGGCAGCCCTAGAATCTCTACGTTCAGACAGATTGAATGCGCTCGTTACGATCGTGCAGAAGAACATGCGTAGACGAATGGCCGTTAAGCGTTATCGAGAGTTACGGCAGGCGACAATCCAGATTCAAACTTGGTGGCGTGGCATACTTGCTCGCCGGTTTGTCATAAAGGTTCGACGAGAAGCAGCTTCTGTCAGGTTGCAGACAGGCGTTAGGGGTTATCTTCGCAGGCACTGGTTCTCGGAGGTCAAGCGCAGCATCGTCAACATTCAAAGCCGTGAGTGAATACGTGTTCCGCTTTTTCAAGATCATTAAATGCTGTTTCCAGATGTGCGCGGTATTCAGGCTCGACGCCAGTTTGTCGAATCTCGTAGAACGCATGCGGTTGTGACTCTTCAAAGTCTATCTCGCGGAATGTGAGTTCTTCGGGCTGGATCTGCTGATCACTTTTTGATACCTTATGAAGCCTCTCGCGGCGAGTATATCACTCGGACGTTGGGAAAGTTATCTACATCCAGTCATGTATCCGCCGTCGTCTAGCGCGCAAAGAGCTGAAAGCTCTGAAAGCCGAAGCTCGTTCCGTCTCGAAGTTCAAGGAAATCTCTTATAAGTTGGAGAATAAAGTCGTTGAGCTTACGCAAAATCTCCAAAAACGCACAGAAGAGAAGAAGGAACTTCAAGGGAAGATGACGCGACTCGAGCAACAGCTGCAGCAGATGGTTTCACGACAAGAAGAATCTGAAGCGCGCGCGAAGCAGCTGCATTTAGAGCTGCAAATGGCGCAAAAGGAGCTTACTCATAGAGAAGAACTCTTACTCCTCAAGGAGGATGTGGAGAGGAAACTGGATGAAGCATTGGCTAAAGCCGGTGAGAAGGAAGACACGATCCAGCGACTCACGGATAGCCTGGCCGAACAGGCTGCTCAGCTGGAGGCGCAACAAAGAGCTCTTACAGACGCGCCTCCGAGGAGCGCAGATGATAGTTCCGTAATTCTCACCCTAAAGAGCGAGGTTAGCAACCTAAGGGAGCAACTCAACCGCGCTAACGCTTTGAATGCTTTGACAAGGGGAGGTCGCGCCGAACCCACTTCTCCTACATTCGCAACTGGTTTGCGCCTTGCGGAAGTCCCTGCGCCCATGGCCGCGGCCAACGGATCCGCCCTTGTTCCGTCGGCGGCGCGTGGACACCAACGAAGGCATAGTTCCGCCGGGGTGTATGCCATAAGCCCGGTCGACAACCGAACGTCAGCGGATGAACTCATGATCACTGCAAAACGGAGTCAGGCTACTAATCCTCGTGCTGTGTCCGTCGCTTATAATGGCGAGGATGGGCTGCCTAGGTTCCGCGCCCCGAACGGTATCTCGGACGTGTACGATCCTGCGGAAGAGAAGATTGCGCTGATGCAGGATATAAGGCGTTTGGACGAAGATGTACTGGATGGACTCATTCGTGGTCTGAAGATACCTGCCCCTAGCACCACAAATCCCTCCGCCGTGAAAGAAATCTTATTCCCTGCAAATCTCATCAGTCTGATAACAAACGAAATGTGGAAGTATGGCCTGATACCAGAAAGCGAGAGATTTCTTGCGAATGTCATGCAGACCGTTCAGTCTCATGTCATGGTAGCTTTTCATTCGCATGTGTTCGTGGTATATTCTGACTCCTCGTTTTGCAGTCTTTCTCCGTGGAGGAGGCTATTGTTCCAGGGATCTTCTGGCTTTCTAATGTTCACGAAATGCTGTCATTCATTTGCGTAGCCGAAAGCGATATGCTGCAGGGAATCGGCCCTGGCGAAGAAAACGCCGTGCGTCCCTTCGAGTGGGCCGATTATGAGAGGCTTGTCTCAGTCGTGAAGCACGATCTGGACAGCTTGGAATACAACATCTATCACACTTGGATGCTTGAGACCAAGAAAAGGCTATCAAAGATGGTCATACCCGCGTTAATCGAGAGCCAGTCGTTACCTGGCTTTACAACGACCGATGGTGGCGGTAGATTATTCAATCGGCTCCTCAGCTCTAATGCACAACCTGCGTATAGCATGGATGATATTCTCAATCTGCTCAACAAAGTTTGGAAAAGCTTGAAGAGTTACTATATGGAGGATTCAGTGGTCCAGCAAGTTGTTACTGAACTCCTGAAGTTGATTGGTGTGACGAGTTTCAACGATCTACTCATGAGGCGAAATTTCTCCTCGTGGAAACGAGGTCAGTTATTCATTCAACCCTTGGAGACCGCTACTTATTGCGTCCTTCAGCGATGCAAATCCAATACAACATCACACGTATCGAGGAGTGGTGCAAGTCGCACGATATGCCCGAGGGAACGCTCCAGCTCGAACATCTTATGCAGGCTACTAAATTACTGCAGCTGAAGAAGGTAGCTGATGCTCATTCTGCGATATCCTCACCTAGCTAACGTATGCTTGCGCAGTCTACACCTGCCGATATAGAGATCATCTACGATGTGTGTTGGATGCTCACCCCAACCCAGATACAGCGGATGTGTACGAATTACTATGTCGCGGATTACGAAGTATGGTATCCCTTTGATCGTCTCTCACTTGCTGATAGCGTGTGTTTTGCAACAGAACCCCATCTCCCCGGAGATACTGCGAGTCGTCGCCTCAAGAGTTGTCGCTAATGACCGGAACGACCATTTGTTATTGGCGCCTGAAACGGAGGAAGTGGGGCCTTACGAATTGCCCCTGCCCCGTGAAGTCTCTGGTCTCGAGACCTACGTCCCTGCTTATCTCAATGTGCCTCACTTGAGAAGATTGGCCGCTCTGGTAGCATAGCTATTCTAATATCACTAGTTTGATTTTTGGTTGTCGCATGCTTTCTAGCGTTCAGCAATGGTTGTATAATGGTACTACTATACATATATACCCTATCGTAAATCATGGTCGCATCGCCTCACTGAATACTGAGTGATTTCGCCAGGGTGACATCCTCGAAATGTTCGATTATAGTATAAGAAGAGCACCATCAATGATCTGCTCTGACAGAGAAAGGTCCATTCGCAGTTCTACAACGTTCGAATCCTCTGAATCCGGGCTTAACAGCTGTAACGGCTGAGAATGAACGGTGGATGAACGATGAGAACTAGAGGCAAACACTGCAACAACAATAACAGCATACCCTAGGCTCTGAGGATAACCTCATCTGAGAAATGAGTAGGTCTACTGCCTTCCCCGCACTGATGGTCTACTCATTGCGTAACAGCATCTAGACGAAGAAGGGACAAAGAGAGCTCTACCTTTCTGAACCAGTACAATCTTTCGGGGGGGCTCTGAGGGTCATCCCGCAATAGGATTTTGACGTGAACGCGATCATCAAGGGGCACGGAGGCTTGAACATCCCGCGCGTCTCCAGGCAGTGCGCGATGACGCATGCTTCTCAATTCAACTTGCCTGGAGAGCTGGGACTGTTTCTGACGAACGCGTGTTGATACAGGTCGTTCCGTGGTGGCACCGCGGCCTTGACCTTGATAGTTCGGAAAATGTTTCGCGAGAAGGTTCCGAGCTGCAGCATTCTTGCTACTGGACGTGGAGCTATCTTGTACGGCGGCACATGCATGAGAGACAGTTTCGCGGTGACTATTCGACTGCCAACTCAAGGTTACCGCTTGCTAGATGGGCAGGAAAACTCTCACCTGGCGCAAAACGACAGCTTGCACTTGGGACAGACGGCGGGAACTCTGCCCTCCCGGTCTTCGGTGCATGCTATTGCAGATTCAAGACTGAGTTTATTGCATCCGCTATGTGCACATCTCTGGGCTTGAATCCGAGCAGAGAGTGGGATTGTGGTTTGGTCATAGACAGTAGAAGGAAAGGAGCATTGGTGGTGATCAGGGAAAATATGATTCCTACAATATATTTTGCTGCATTGACACAAGAAAGGGAGAAAATCATTGACATTGCATGAGGGTACAGAGCAATGAGCTCCAACTGAGAGGATGTCCATTTCCAAAGAGACGTATATGGTGCAGGACTTGAGATTGGGGAGCGGCAACTCCTGCAAAGTGCGCATGACGATGATGTAAGTTTCCCGCTCGAAAAGCGCCGCGTGGCCGCGGACACTACACTGCCGAGTGATCGAATTCCTGGAATATTGCTGGCCACTCCGGATTGAGCAGCCTCTTCTGGTTGCTGCTCACAGCCCATGGGGATGCTGTCCCTATTACAGCCTTGCAAGGGAGGTTTTCTCTTCATCTTGTTCACTCACTTCCAGACCCTGGACTATCTATTCTTGGACATCTCCTGCCAGTCTATTTCTTTGATGTGTATGTTCTCTATCTATCAGTTTCACCTTGTCACAGAATTTCATGGTGTCTATCTTATCTTAATGTTTAGATGATCTATATCTTATTCAATTAGATATCTCACTAGATAAGGATAGTGTAATGCATGATGACATGTGACTAGTCAGATAGTAAGCCCATTAATTGGGCAAGGATATGACATATCCCCATCACAAGGGAATATCCCTATCATGCCCAGAACCACATATGGCTGTTCAGGTGATCATCACTATAGAACTACTGACTCAACATGAGGCAGAGTATTCACATGTCAGGTATTCTTAGATAGCCAATGGCATATATAGAGCATCTGTTAGCCTAGGTGTTAGATGTACTACCAGTAGTATTAGGGGTCTGGTCCCTCATGTATAAATACCAGAGCAATCCAGCGTAGAGGGGCAAACTAAATATTCTTCAGTTGCTCTCATCTACTTAACTTTCAACTTATCCTCTGAGCCCCAAAGCTCTTAAGACAAAGTACACTGCTTCAATCTTACAACCACTATCGCCACAAGTGAGTGCTAGGGTTAGGGGTTGGGTTAGGGTCAAGGGTGATACCTTGACATAATATTTAGTCTATCCTATTTGTCGGTTGTTATCACCAATATCTCTCTTTTGGTCCATCCATTTGTTTAACAGATAAACTTATCTCTTCAGAAAGTGTTGTCATATGCTTCCCAGTCTGCCTCTCAGGACCTTCAAGAAGCTTGTACCCCTTCCCCCACTTCCTTCTTCCTGTTCTTCAGGACTGCTGCTGAACAACTAGAATTTGTTGAAGGATGAATTGCTAGTCTCTTTACCTCAGGACTACAAACCTAAGGACAGCAAGAGCTATATGAGGAGTATATTGGACTTGCAGGGACTCTTAGAGAGTCCATTAGAATTGGTCAGGAAGATTTGAACATTCAAGAAGAAGTAGAGGTTAGTGAGACACCCCTCCCATCATCACCCTATGCCCCCATTCCCACTCAGTGGTTTCTACAGAGAGTTGCCTCATCACCAGAGGTTATTGAAGTCACAAGGAGTGCTTTGGAAGAAGAACTCTGGAACAGAGTAGGAGGACCTGAAGTAGAGCTTATTTTAGCTGCCCTTCAACATGAGATAGTTTCAGGAGCAGTCAATTGCACACATTCAGAAAAACTAGGCAGAGACCCAGATGATTTTGATTTAACTTTAGCACCATCATTTTCACCACCCCTGGCACAGGAAGTATCCAGCACACCAGCACCCCAATACTTGCCACCAGCACCCACATATCTACTGCCATCCCCCACATACCAAGATGACTGTATTTGCCTCACTCCTGACTTCCTTGGACTAGCCAAAGGAATCAGAGAAGCCAGAGCTGAAATTGTAGCCCAGAGAGCTCAAGAAGCCTCTTCACTTGAGTATGTGACTGCAGAAGGAGAAATTGTGGAAGATCCAATATCTTCCAGTACAGTTATCAATAAGAGTAGTGTAAGTGCCTTGACCTTGGAAGGAGAATTCCAAGAGCGCTTGGAACCTAGTAGGCTGTTTCCTTCTTGGCTTCATAGCAGGAGGACCACCAATAGGAACACCCCAGGAGAGCGTTGCCACTACAGGCGCCCTTATTCCTGCACATGCCCCCCTACACCCATCACTGACAGTGTCTAACAGGACATTGATAGGTTTTGCAGCAGACCTCAACAAACTATCAAATACATATCTCAGCCCTTTGCTAGAGCTGAGGGTATCTGACAAACACATCGCTAATGTTACAGCGTGAGAGGGGGGTTTCTTTTTCTTTCCTAACTATTTGTTATTGACCCTGTACTATACAACTGATCCCATCACTTGATGTGTTTCACCTACATCAAGCGTTTCATATCCATCACGTTTCACCTATATCTTATTTCACCCACATCACGTTTCATATCTATCACATTTCATCTCCATCACTGATATAACCCAGTGAAACCTGTTTCATGTATATCACTGATCCAACTCAGTGTTTCATACTTATTAAACTCTATTACTTAGCACTATTTAAGTAGCACTACTTGCGCTGCTATACTTTAGTTTTGTCCTCTTGTTCCCTACGTACCTTCATAGGAACAGTCC